AAACCTTGACTTCACAAGTTACAGTGTGTAACTGTCCTATTAATAAATGTTAAGTATTGAGATAACTTCCTGCAGAATGAGGTTAAATATATATATGTATACAGGGTGACTGGTGAATTACTATCGATATTTGAGGACGTTATATTTGACGATCATATATGACAAAATAAAAATTAATATAACATAAAAATTAATAAACTTCTAAGTAAAGTTAACCAAAAGTTATGTAATTAATTACGCATCGTATGAACACCCTACAGATTAGGTATACACACACACACACACTCGCGCGCGGCGGCGTGTTGTTGTATCAGCACGCCGCCGCACGCGTCCACACTTGGAACACTTAGAACGTGTACACACTTTATTTATTTAAACGGAAATTTGGTCAAAAATTAAGTACCTATTTTTTTTACATAATTCGAATGAGAATCATGTACCGAGTATGCTCCTTAAATATTGATAGTAATTCACCAGTCACCCTGTATACTAGCTGACCCGGCAAAGGTTGTTTTGTCATATAAAAAATAAGTGTTGGTGTTAAAAAAGTAAAAATTTTCGGTTGTATGCATTTTTTAATGATACATTATAAAAAAATAAAAACAAAATAATTCGTCCGAAATTAGAACTAAAAAAATTAAGGGTATATAATATGAAAAATAGATGTTGGCCGATTCTCAGACCCACTCAATATTCTCACAAAATTTCATTAAAATCGGTCCAGTTGTTTCGGTATAGTTCTCTGTCTAACACCATGACACGAGAATTTTATATATAAGATATATATATGTTTTTGATGAAGAATAAAAGAAAATTTAATTGAACAATATCTATAAAGCATTTTAATATATGCTTTTATTTATTTTTAATAATTAATTAAAAACTGAATCATAACAATATAAAACAATGAAGTTATAAATTTTATTCCGTTCTTTATGTTGATAGGCAATACTGTAGTTTGTTTAATATATATTTTTTAATCCATTATGTTTAAGTCCTCTTTTTTATAGTAGAATTCTTTTTTTTAGGCTGGCAATCATATATGTTTGCAATTCTACTATATAGGCTCAAAATGACTAGTATCCAGAGCCGTAAAAACATTTACAAAAGAAAAAAAATTGTAACTCCATTAATCCGTATCAAATGGGAAATTTGTGTGAGTCATGAATGATCTCATTTGCGACAATTCTACAACTATTTATTGATATTGTCTTGTCAATTAATTGTTATATTTTTCGCCTAAGCTTCGCCCGCGTGGAATTCGGTTATGTCGCGTTTCCAAGAGAAGCTTTCAAAAGTCTAGGATAAAAACTATCCTATGTTCTTTCTTAAGGTCAACTCCATCTCTGTACCAAATTTCATTAAAATCAGTTCAGTGGTTTAGGCGTGTAAACGTAACAGACAGACAGACAGACAGACTTACTTTCGCATTTATAATATTAGTAGGGACTAGTAGGTATAATGTATTTTATACTATTTTGACAAGAGTTAAAGTTGTACTTAAACGTCACTATGACATTTATGTACGTAATGAATCTGTTGTTAATTAAAACAATAAAAATATTAACGATTTAGAAATAAAACGTCAATATAAAACTTTATTATTTACTCATAAATATATATAGATATTATTTCTTTAGTTAATTCGGCTTTGAACTAAACTAGAACCAAAGTCACAGCTAAATTCGTCATGCTTGAAAGAACCTTGAAAATTTCCTTCACTGACCGTCAATAGGCTCTTAAAACAGTGTGCTATTGATACATTGAAATAAATAGAATTTGGAGGCAATTGTATTTCAATGATAATACACAATTGGCTTATTTGTATGAAGAAAGGATTTAGATATAAGATAAAAAAAATCGCGTCAATTTTGTTATATCAATGGATTTAGAGTAAACGATAAAAGAAAAGTTACTTGAGATAAAGATTACGTTGATATGTACAGACAAATATAAGCAAATTATGATATAAGATATTTGTATATCAATTTTATATTGACGTTAAACTTCTTACGCGACTTCTATCAAGGTTGCGTTAAACGTTTTACGCTCCGGGAGGGGATAAAATGTGATAGAGCGAGAGGGAATGCGTGGCCCCCGAACGCATGAGGGCAATCAATTGTGACTTGTAAGTAATATGTATTAGTAAAGTTTGTCTTTAAAGAACACTAAAAAATTCTTAAAGATCTATTTCCACCCTTTCCTATTTTCATTTCAACATAGCGAAGTTTCACTTCTTCCGCTCGCAGGGACTCCACGCACAATTAATACTTTTTTGTCACGATTGTAATTATTTTTTTTTTATGTAATTTTAATTACAAGCTAATAAATGAAATATTCATATTTACATATTTTAAACTTTATACGAGTTCAGTTTTTGAAAACAATAATCTTATATATTTGTTATTATATTTCCATCACAGATTACTTAATGTTCTTTCCAAGGCCCAACAAAATGTTTTTCAAACTCGAAAAAACGTTAAAGAATCTGAAAATTTGTTTATAATGTTAAAATCTGGTCAAAAGCTACCCATTGATGGCTGCCACTACGAAATTAACTTAATTACGACAAGGAAGTGATTTGATTTGGTAAATATTTCAGAAGCACGATGCACATACATTAACCTACATTTGCTTAAATGCACTTTTTCTTCATTTGAAATCAAAATTATGTGAAGCAAAAAAAAAAAAAAAAAAAAAAAAAGAAAAATACACAGAATCTCACAAAAATTTCGAATTTATTACAATATGTAAGTACACAAGAAATTCAAGTTCATATCCCAAAATATGCCCTTAAACATCGCAAGCGTGTATTGTTTAAATGAGAGTAATGTATTGAAGTAATGAATTTAAACAAAGTAATCTGTAAATGCTGACATAAAATCTTTACAATAAATGGAAACATTTTTATATAAACAGACCTACATTAAAATAGTAATAAAAGACGAAAATGTTGAAAGAAACATTGTATACTTAATACTTAAAGAATATTGGCTGAATGTTCAGCAGCTTTAATCAATTATAATATATTTTATATCATTTTAGTAAAAATATACTAAATGTTCCTGCCATATTTATCATTCAGAAAACTTCATTTTACTACTTAATTGTTTATTTTCATTTCGTCTGTCCGTGATCACGGTTAATACAAAGTAACCGAATCGTCAGGAGTATGTAGTTTAAAATAATAAATTACACGTACGTACTAATTCCAAAAATATTAGTTTTATTTTAATGAATACTCTCAAAAGTCTTATATCTCATTAATAGTTCGGTTTAAATGAAATATTTTTTGGAAATTTCTTGTATTTATAATGGATTTTTATTTACAAACAAGGTTATTAACATCGAAATATCACTTCAATATTCATTTTTCATTTACCATCGCATATTGTAATTGGAAAACAAGCATACTGTCAGTTTTAAGTTAAGGATATAAATACGTACCTACTAAGGATTCCATATCTTAATTTTTATACTTCTTAATGGTGTAATGTATATTTTTAATTAGATAAGACTTTTGATAGTATTTATTAAAATAAAACTAATATTTTCAGATAAACTACGCGTTTGTTATTATTTTAAACTACACAATTAAAAGAAACTACATAATTGAGATATTAAGATGAAAGTATCTCACAATTGTTGATTATGTAATTAAAATAATTAAAAAGCGTAGTAAATCAGAAAATCATAGTTTTACATCAATGTTTAGTTTTGATAAAACTCATGAACACTTCTGTCACTAATCTATCCTATAATATATGATACGATGCAACTCTTGAAAGGCAATTATTTTAATTAATACTCCTTTCACTTTCTTATATTTTTAACATATTCATAACATCTATAATGACCACAAAAAAGCTACAAGCGAGAGGAATTTAGCTTTTCCACTATCAAAGTTTTAAACTAAGCAGCTATTCTTCCTATTTCTATAATAGCAATAATCCCTACTAATATTATAAATGCGAAAGTAACTCTATCTGTCTGTTACGCTTTTACGCCTAAACCACCAAACTGATTATAATGAAATTTGGCACCGAGATAGAGTTGACCTTGAGAAAGAACATAGGATAGTTTTTATTACAAACTTTTGAAAGGTTCTCTTGGAAACGCGATATAACGGAACTCCACGCGGGCGAAGCTGCGGGCGGAAAGCTAGTGTATAATATTTTAAACCATATTCATTGCCCCCTATATTGGCCCCTTTTATACAATGCCATGTTAGCTACGCCCCTGCATACTTCACGTGTAAGTATTTTGATCATGCAAACTAAAAAAAAGCCTTTCATATCAAAAATATTAAACAATTTGACCAACAAAAAAAGTCGCGTAGTATATCCGAAAACTATTAGTTTCATTTAAATAAATAAAACTCGTGAATTAGATCACATAATTCTTTATTCTTTGTATCAAAATAAAACATAAACATACAATCACATATAAAGTTAGCCTTAAATGTCGCTTTAAATGTATAAAGTTGTAAAGGAATTCATTTCGTCATTGTTTTGTATCGTGAATAGGAAGCGAGGGTCAATGTAAAAGTGAAAGGGTGTACGTTTATCCTTGGTTCATACAACTAGAGAACATTTTCGAAAAAACCCGTAACGTAAATTACGTACGTACGTACGGTGAATTTGAAATTACGTACGGAATCATTTGTAATCAATCATGCATAAATTTGATTTTTAATAATAGCGAATATATTTGGAGTTTAACTTAAAATTCCGTATTAATTTAACGATGTAAAACATTTTCATGTGTATATAAGTAAATGACACCAAGATTTTCGGATTATGACGCCTATTTTATTATTTAAAAAAGTCCATACTCCCGCGCCACGTTTCGTTTAGGTACTTACGTATATCCGAAAAACTTACGACAACAATATCAATATACAAAATTTTATTTATATTATACAAAATTTTAATTATTTATGTAGAATTAATACATTTGAATGTATTTTTAATTATTTATTTTTATTTTCAGCAACCATAATGCCGCGTAAAAGACTGATATTGTTGGTGTCGCTACTAGCGCTTGTCAAATTGTCACAAGAATACGGTTCCGGAGCGCCGCCGTTGGTAAGAAAAATAAAATATTAACTTTGTTATTAAGAAAAGAAATATCAAATAAACGTTATGTTTTTATGAAATTGGAATATTCAGAGAAGTAATTGTTTCAATATTTTGAAGTACAATCCTAATAGATAAACTTAAAATGTATTAAATACTTTTTTTTGTAAAGCATGACAATTGCTATGAGTATACAACTTCTTAATATAAATAGCTACTAATGCTTTTAAGACCTTAAGTATGTTTTAAATTAATCAACAGTTTACTTAGTAACTGTACTATAACCATAAATTATTGTAATTCAAGTTATGTGTGCAAAAAAAATTCGAATGTTAATACACAAACCTAAATACTTAAAACTTAAATTAGATGATAGTTATAAGGCAAACTATTTACATATGTTTAACGCCTACAACTTTATAATATTAAAATCTCATTTTGAAGTAATTGAAATATTAAAAAATTTATGTGATTTTAATAAAGGCAAGATAAATCTATGAATAATTATTATATATTAATTCCAGGCATGCCTAGATCAGTTCCCACGTCACAGCGACATTCCCGCTCAAACATCAGCTCCTCCGTACTCCATTTTCACGTCACCCCAAGTGCGACAGGGTGACACCCTCAATGTTACTATCGGCAGTCCATTTGGTGCACCCACACCCATCGGTGGATTCATCCTACAAGCTAGGAGTATACAGGTATATTAATTAATATACATATACAGTGTAAACTCTATATAACGACACTGAAGGGACCGTGCATTTTAGTGCATTATAGAGAGTTGCCGTTAAATAGAGGGAAGAAAAATCAGAATTAGAAAAAGACAAAGTTTGTTTCCGACTACTGTTAGTACTTATGTACATAAAAAAGAATGTTATAAAGTCTGTTGTTTTTGTTTGACGTGTTTTGCTGCACCAGTAATGTTATTGTATTTTTTACGTATTTTATTCATATCTTGCGATATTGAGGCATATTGGTGAAGAACGAATTTCTTAGAAAGTTTGGTATGCATGATTACGACAGTGGAGTTTATTGCGGGCTAGGATAACAAAGCGACAAAAAAACGTACACAGCTGCGCATTTTTTACTAATTTTAGCAACTTAAAGGGTACTTTTTATTACTTAATTTTGTCGTTATTGAGAGTGGCTGTGACGCTATATAGAGTGTATGATTGTATGGTAGACAAGCTAAACCAACCAAAGTCAAATGATTTCGACGCTTTAGAGAGTTTGTCGTTAAATCGAGTGTCGTTATATGGAGTTTACACTTTATATACATACATATACATATATTGGCAGACCCTGGCTAAAGCTGGGAAACTGCCAGGAATAAGAAGACATATATATATATATATATATATATATATATATATATATATATATATATATATATATATATATATATGGGTTTAAAGATCTTTATTCTCAACAAGACAATACATAGCCACTTATTTGATAACATTACTAACTTAAACATATAACATTGTTAACATTCGTCACACCAAGGTTTATTTTATCTGTAGTCTATATATACATATATTAACAAATTATTGTTTCGTCAAACATTAAAACTTATAAAACTGTCCTTTAGTTTATTTCTATGTCGATAAAGATATTAAATCATTGTAATATATGTATAATGTATTCAAATAAGAAAAGTATATTTATTTTGTTTCTTTTATTCATATAATAACTTGGTTATTACTTGTTCTATAACTTTACTTGTCTTCCTAGGAATACGTTCTGATCCAAACACATTATATACAAGCAACAAATTGGCAAGCAGATATTGAAATATGTACTTTTAGACTCATGATTAACTAGCTTTCCGCCCGCAGCTTCGCCCGCGTGGACTTCGGTTATATCGCGTTTCCAAGAGAACCTTTCAGAAGTTTGAAATAAAAACTATCGTTTGTTCTTTCTTATGTCAACTTTATCTCTGTACCAAATTTCATTAAAATCTGTTCAGTGGTTTAGACTTGAAAGCGTAACAGACAGACAGAGTTACTTTCGCATTTATAATATTAGTAGGGATACTTATGATTTTAGACTCATATGATTAACTAGCTTTCCGCCCACAGCTTCGCCCGCGTGGAGTTCGGTTATATCGCGTTTCCAAGAGAACCTTTCAAAAGTCTGGTCTAAAAACTATTCTATGTTCTTTCTCAAGTTCAACTCTATCTCTGTACCAAATTTCATTAAAATCAATTCAGTGGTGTTACGTGAAAGCGTAACATACAGACAGAGTTTCTTTCGCATTTATAATATTAGTAATGATACTTATTCTATAATTTCTCTCATTTTACAGGATCAAGACAAAATAGTTGGCAAGTTCGTTCAAGTACCTGCTGGTATTGCGAAGATAAGTTCATGTCGAGGTGACAATGACACAGTTACACATACATCCCCAGAAGATAAACCACCTCTCAGCTTTATGTGGAGCGCTCCTACTGACTTCCTTGGCGGGATTGAGTTCAGGTATGAGATCTGATGAGATCTACATTAATACTATAATTTGAGAAGACTTATGAAGTTATGAACGACAAACTATTAATACTTAAAATTAAATTGTTTTCTTAAACTAAGCATACTGTCACTTAAAATTAACGTTCTTTAACATATAATATACATATATTTGTTTACATAAATACGTATAATAAGATCTAAAACTCTCGCGAGTATTCATTTAAGTGTAACTAATATTATTCGGATTATTACTGAGTTGCTGAAAATTAACCGAAACATCGGTCTTATGTATATTTATAAAACAATATACGCGTAATCATATTAGTTCCATATAAATACGCATGTTTATGTTTGCCATATTAATTTATACACAACTTATAGAAGTAAGTTTTAATTAAAATAATTCTTTCACAGAGCGACAGTAGCACAAAGTTACGCAACATTTTGGACGAACGTTGAATCTTCATTAGTTGAGGTAGTGACTCCCGATACAATCATCACGACACCTTCAACAGTCGCTAGTACAAGCACAACACAATCTACGCCGATTATTATGCAGAATACGGTAATATTACTATTTATGACATTTAATAAAGGGACATTTTTATATATTAGTGATTTTTTATTGCTTTCGAGAGCTATGATGACTACAGAAAAGCTGAAGTCAGTATTTAAATTTGTCAAATACAGATTGATACATAATGTTGCTTATAAAATTTAAATGATTCATTATTATAATTAATTATATTCTGTCATAAAAATAATAACTGTCATTATAATAAATAACGCACAGATGGCGCCACTTGTAACACTTTTGTACATACGAATTTTTATATCAAACCTTCTCTTACAAAATTCAAAATTCTTATTAACTCTATTATTATATTATTAATTCCAGGAAAAAACCACTCAAGCGCCCCTTGATCCTATATATCAGGGTTGTGCAGACACAAAATTGTGTTTCGGGATTCCCAACAATTGTATTTCATCAGGGAATTGCAAAGCTATACTTGCTATTTACGTAGCTGGCGATATTTATACATTCGAAATACAAGGCACTGACAACCCTAAATATGTTTCCGCGGGGTTGAGTACGAATAACAAAATGGGTGACGATAGTGCCATGGAATGTGTCAGAAATGATAATGGAAGAATTAGTTTATTTACGTCTTGGACTTATCCGAAAGAGGAGCCTTATGTTAGAAGATCAGAATCTCCGCAGAATATAGTACAGTTGCTAGAATCTTCGATCATAGATGGAAAATTGTATTGCAAGTTTACGAGAGACGCCGTATCAACTGTAAAAGGACAGACATTCGATTTGATCAATGAACAATACTATTTGATGGTTTTATCCGGTAGTTCAATGATGGGTACGTAGAATAAATATTTGGATATATTTTTTCAAAATTTTTGAGTAGCTGTATCCTTCTTTTTGCACATATATCCAAAGAAATTGCTATAACTGCATACATATTAAAATGAACATAAACTAGAGGAAATAATGAGATCTTGTCATAATAAAAATCTTTGGCTATTAAAATTTCAACATACAAAAATTCCAAACAAAAAAATTTACTCGTACTAAATCGCTACTAATATTGAAAATATCCAACAGTAAAGAGAAAATAATGAAATCTTACGACGATTAAAATATTTGTCTATTAAAAAAGGACCATACCAAAATTCCAAACAAAAAAATTAACTCGTACTAAATCGCTACCTATATTGAAAATATCCTATAGTAATTAACCACAGACTAACTTCAACCACAGATGCAGACCGCGTCGGTTTCCACGACTTGGCCTATGAAGCGTCAGGCGCACCGTCCTCTCTCGCCACAGTGGGCGCGGCGGCGCCTGCCTCTAGGTTACTCATTAAACTACACGGAAGTTTCATGATAGCTGCTTGGATGGGAGCTACTTCGTTGGGAATATTATTGGCTAGGTGTGTATGACCAATATATTTACGTTCCGAAGAAAATCGCGTTAACTGAAATTCGCGTATATCGAGGTTTATGATTAAACACAGTCAAAAATAATAATCATATTAATCAATCACTTTAATTCAAAGAACACTATACAATACATAGTACTCCTATTTTTTATGAAAAAATACATATACTGTCTTTTGGGTAGCGTTTTGTTTACGTTCTTGTAAAGTACGTTCATAACACCCAACACTGTTTTTAATCGTTTGACACACGTTCAAGACACGGTCATCATTATTGTCTATACTCTGCAATATCCCAACCTGAATATTTTTTTGAAAATCGCGTTATAGTGAAACCGCGCACAACGGGGTCGCGTTAAGCGGGGTATTACTGTATATATTTATTTAAGGACCACTAGTAGCTACTACAAATGACAAATGTAAAACAATTAAATAAAAATAGCTGTGAACATGTGAAGCTTTTTAAAGTAGCCACAACAATTACAATATTTGTTTTAAAAATACATTAACACATAATAATAGCGACATGAGTGGAACGATTAAAAAAAATAAGTTAAAAATTAAAGACCATAAAAAATAAACATGCACTTAATAAAATAAAAAACACAAATAGTTTGTTATATATATACTTCATTATATGAATCCAATAGTGGTCAAACATTTGGCGCTCATATTGGCCGAAATTGGCCCAATTTTATATTTAAACTACAAACTAATGAAATAAAGACTTGTATAAATCACTCATTTGTAAATGCTATCTTAAACATATGATAATAGAGTATATTTTTGATTACAGATATTACAAAAAGACGTGGGTAGGAAAAACCCTTGGTGGAAAAGATGTATGGTTCGGCGTAAGTATTATTTTCTTTAAATGTTATACCTATTGATTAAGATTATATAGATAGTAAATAATTAAAATAAAGCCGAATTCACACTGGGTGTTTTTCTGTTGGCTGACATAATACAACATATTTATTTTAGTTGAATTTAACTACAATCTGATCAAATAGCATGATAGGCTGAAGTTAAGATTAAAAAGTTTTATGTACTTGGTTGTATGTAATAACAGCACTTATCTTTGGACAAAAATATAGTTATAAAACAGGCACTATTTATTGGTAAACTAATGTTTTTTTTTTTCACCGAATACTAGAAACCAATTTATCATACAAATCGATATAGATTTAAACAATAAATATATACTATTTTCATCTAAAACCAGTTATTGATACTTATCAGTTTTTTTTTCTATCATCCCCGTCCAAGGAACACTGCATTCAGCCAATGTCATTGCAAAGGAGTTTCTATATAAATATTTTATTTTCAGTCTCACAGAATACTGATGGTGTTAACGTGGATATTGACGATAGTCGCGTGCGTGTTAATAGTTTTGGAGGCTGGAGGCATAAGGATTGATAGCATACACGCAATCACGGGAATAATTACTGTAGTATTATGCTTCATACAACCCATTGGTAAGGATTATATATATATATATATATATATATATATATATATATATATATATATATATATATATATATATATATATATATATATATATACAGGGTGACTGGTGAATTACTATCGATACTTGAGGACGTGATTTATGACGATCATATATGACAAAATAAAAATTAATATAACATAAATATTAATAAACTTCTAAGTAAAGTTAACCAAAAGTCATGTAATTAATTACGCATCGTATGAACACCCTACAGATTAGGTATACACATACACTCACACAGACGCGGCGGCGGCGTGTTGTTGTATCAGCACGCCGCCGCACACGTCCACGCTTGAAACACTTGGAACGTGTCAACACTTTATTTATTTATACGGAAATTTTGTCAAAAATTAAGTACCTATTTTTTTTACATAATTCGAATGAGAATCATGTACCGAGTATCCTCCTTAAATATTGATAGTAATTCACCAGTCACCCTGTATATACTAGAAGACCTGGCGAACTTCGTATCGCCCTATAATCAAGAAATATCTATTACATTTTTGGAGTTTACCTGTAAGCCATAAATCTCCGTGTTTTGAAGTGCCACAGAATGATTGTCATATTAGTTAGTTGTCAAATCTAATGTCAAAAAAAAGTTTGTTTGACAACAACTAATAAATTAAAAATTATTCAAAAAAACATTGTCCAGCGGACAAAATTGTGAATCTAAACAATTCCCAGATCCCCTTGAACACACACAAAAAAAATCCTCAAAATCGATCCAGTCGTTTGAGAGAAGTTCAGTGACACACACTCACAGAAGAATTATATATATAAAGAGAGAGAAAGAGATGTATGTATGCTCATAGATTGTATTTATAGGTGTATAAAACAAGTTGCGGATGTCTATACATATAAACATCCCTACTAATATTATAAATGCGAAAGTAACTCTGTCTGTCTGTCTGTTACGCTTTCACGCTTAAACCACTGAACTGATTTTAATGAAATTTTGGTTCAGACATAGAGTTGATCTTGAGAAAGAACATAGAATAGTTTTTATCTCAGTCTTTTGAAAGGTTCTCTTAGAAACGCGATATAACCGAACTCCACGCGGGTGTAGCTGCGGGCGGTACGCTAGTACATATATATATCGGTTAAGTAAACATTTTCGTGACTCAGATTTCTATGGCACTTAATAAGTACATATAAAGAGTATGAATTTTAAATTTAATATTTGTGTATATATCAAATAATAGTAATATAATAGGTGCTCCGAAACTATTATTTAGTTTTAATTATCTTTTCTTTATTATATTAATAATATGTTATCAGGTGCGTATTTCCGACCTCACCCGGGAACGAAGCGGCGGGCTCTCTTCAATTGGGTTCACTGGCTACTTGGAAACGCGGCTCATATACTTGGAAGTAAGTTATTACTATAATAATACAGAAAACTAAAAAAGTCGTGGTTGCCTAGTGGTTAAAAGGCCCGCCTCTCATACATGAGGGCGTAGGTTCGATCCTGGCAAGTACCAATGTGATTTTTCCGAGTCATATGTACCTACTTTCTGAGAGTATTTAGACAAGAATGTCTATCGAGAAACTCAGCTTAAGAAATCGTTAAAGACTTAAAGAGAGAGTGGTATTATTTATTGATGATAGAATAATATCCTCATACAACTAAAAAAAATTGTATAATTCAAACCAAGTAAAGATTTAACAATAAAAGTGAAAACATTTGTTTAAATGATTTTTACTAACATTATTGATGTTTATTACAAAAATAAAACACGCGTAGTACATCCGAAAAATATTAGCTTCATTTAAATGAATAAAACTCGCTAAAGTCTTATAGTTCATATTATGAAAATATTACATTTACATGTGCTATATAAATAATATCTTTAATTTATTTAAACACAACTAAATAAAAAGTCGTAACATTATGGTGAATTTCTTTAATTATTTATATTAATGTATATTCTATATTAATCTTATTATTTTATTATTTCAGTCGCCAGTATCTTCCTATCCGTGTACCTTGTGAAAGCCGATTTGCCATCTTGGGCCGTCTTCATAATGGCTGCATACGTTATATTCCATGTCATAACACACGTCGTTCTATCGGTGAGTTATAATAAAAAGTTTAAAAATACATATTTATTATGTAGAAGTAATTATATATATAAATATTAAATATTTTAACTTTTTGGTATTTATGATTGGAAATAACAGCGTTCGGTCTTACATTTTCAGCCATGCAAGTTATTATTGCTCGAAAAACGAATTTTAATTAAACTATAAATAAATTAACAATATCAATGAGAAAACAAAAGACAATAGTTCAAGATGTTCACATACAGCTGTATTAAAGCTTTGATTTGATATTATACTGTAAAATTCATAATACATTAGGATTAAACGTTGAAAAATAAAAAAAAACTGAAATATTTTCACAAATTTTCAAAGCAAGCAAAGGGAAAAAAATTAATATACATTTTAAAAAATGATTATTATATATAACTAGTTTTTGCCCGCGACTTCGTCCGCGTTAGTTTCGTCATTAGTAATATATGTATAGCTGACCAGGCGAACTCTATTCCGTCTTAGAGGCCATAAATAATCAGGTTTTTCCTGTTTCAATCAAACAGAATGATTGACATATTAGTAAGGCGGCCAACCGTCCCGCATTCTGCGGGACCGTCCCGCAATTCTAGATGAAATCCCGCTTCGAAATTTTTAGTAAAATAGTCCCGCAAAACGTTGAATGCGTCCCGCATGTCCCGCATCCCTATTTTTCTACCACACTTCTACACAACACCCATACCACGGTCAACAGTGCAGGAACACAGATTACCTATAATAGGGACAAGCGTATCGTGCCCGCGCTAATCTCATTTTCTTTCTTTCTACTGAACTCATGACGCGTAAGAGAGTACTTAAATGTAATATGAGCAGTTGCGAAGATTTTTATGACATACCCAATCCCTAACAACCCCCCCCCCCCCCCCCCCCGTCATTCACGAAAGGTTAAGTCCCGCATTCAGTTTTCGGAAAGTTGGCCGCCTTACATATTAGTTAGTTGTCAAATCTAATGTCAAAAAAAGCGTTTGTATGGGAAATAGAAAAAGGGCTGTTTTTAAGGTTTTCCCGGCAATTATTTAAATTTTTCTCACCTTTTATACCTTCCCTGAACCTCCACGAACATTTCAAGACTAAGATAAGATAAATCCGTTCAGCTGTTCTCGAGTTTTAGCGAGACTAAGGAACAGCAATCCATTTTTATATATATAGAAGATTAGTAATTTTAACGTGATTTCAGCTCACGGTTTGTGTTTCCGAGGGTCGAATAAGCAACGGACGCGTGAATTCATTCCCAATGAAGGATATGATGGGTCAAAGACAAGTCACCAGTGTTGATAGAAGCGACGACGCACCGGTGAGATATATTGTGTTAACTATCGACATATACTAATGGACATGCCGTATCCGTATAATCTGCTGTGATTCTTTGGTTTGAAAAGAGTGAGAGAGATGGCCTATGATTTTGTATAGCGCTATCTCTTTCCTCATAGATGATTGGCGCTCGGTTTTCATGACAAGCACGGCATATAAATTTGAGAGAGATAAAGATAGACCGAAACTTCGTTTCCTCTCTTTCTTTCGGAGTGCTACAATTCTCATATCTAAGGCATGTCCATAACTATAAGTCGGTGGCTATATGTGATAGATAGACTATAGAGACCATAGATTATTAATATATTCCTGCCTATGGTTTATCAAACTTCTTCATTTACATACTTCTTCATATTCATCTTGTTATGTTATTCATTCACTTCGTCTATATCTAATTAACAAAAACTTTATTTCGTTTTCATTGCGTTAATCTAATTTTTTTACTCGTGTGGTTTGCGGTGGTATGAGCATCTTAATATTTTCATTATAATTTTTCATTAACTCTAATTTACTTTTTTATTTTCAAAAAACTCGAATCTTTATGTATTTTAATATTTTCTGCATGTTTTTCCTTTTTACTTGAATGCGTTAAATCAATTTTTACAACTTACTAACAAAATAATATCAATAATATTTAATTAAAAGTTTATTTAAGCTATGTTCTTCAAATAAAAAACCTTTTTTAATTTTATAGTAGAATCTAATATACGACTATTAAAAAAAACGTGTTGGATCTATGGACTTCCCTTAACTCAAAAATCTAGATTATAAATTATGTAGTTCTCAAAGTACTTTCTCAAAAGATCCATTTGTTTTCATTTTTACTATCAAAATAATATTCATTAAAGATTGTGAGAATTTTAATATTCATTTCTTAATATTTTCTATTAATCTAAATTAGTAATTTTTCATTATATTTTTCCTATACATACGCTTTTATTGTTCAATAACTGTTTTATAACATAAAATGTGTTAATAATAATTTGTGTTGTTTCTTTTTCAGTTCTCAACGTTCAGAAAAAACATACTGGGAATTTACGCGCCGATAATTTTACTTTTCACAGTCGCAATGATAGCTCTTGTTTCGTTGGCGCCAATCGCCGGTTTAACTGGCATGGTTGGAAATTAAATTTCCTCTATAGTGTTGCCATCTTTAAAAAAAACATGAATCAAGGTTATAAATAAAAAGGTTTTATATAATTATTTTAGCACGCAAATTAAATTTAACTGATGGATAATTGAATGTATTATGTAAGAAGACAACTTTGTTATATTACAAATTGTACAGAGCACAAATGTTATTATTATTTATTTTTTTATTATATATTTATTGTCAATATTTATTTGCTATAATTATGTATCAATCATTCTTGTCGTTTTACTAACTTTTACAAATCTTTTACGCTATTTTCATTTAGGTTATTTAATATCCGTCCAAAGTTTATACATTTTATAGAAATGTAAGAATAATTCATAATAATAATTTTATTGAATGTAAGATAAGCCGAATTTGCGATCGTTAAGCAATAATGACATTTTTAAACGTGTACCTAAAGTTTAGTTACCCCAAGAATTAAAATTACTTTATATCACAAGCAGAATAGAGTTATAAATATAATTACAGAATACAGATTCTTATGTTTTCTGTATTCTTGAGTTACAACTTTCATCAAATGACAATTAATAATTGACTAATTTGGCTATGGATACCTTTTTAATTTAAGCTCTTACCATTTTAGATAACTGTAAATAAATGTTAATAAATAAAATTAAAAATTATTTTGTTTTATTGATATTTTCAACCCCCGTAGCAACTTAGTATCAAGCATATATGGCAGTCCACAAATAAAAAATGAAATAAGAAAATATAAAGATATTTAATATATAGATATAAGAATAATTAATAGACAAACAAAAGTATAATTTTCTTCATTGATTGAATTTTTTTTGTATGATCCTTATAATGTAATAATAAATACATAATTTGCCTCATAATGAAAGACTCAGAAATAAATAATATATATTTATTTTACATATTAACAAAATCATCCACATAATACATGCATATAATTAAATTTATCTATTTATTTATCAAGTATCTTCATTAGGTATTTGTGAATCTTCAACGAGTCTTGACGCTGGTACATAAACTTTAAACGAGTATTCTGTATGTGGGAAAGACCCAGGGTTAATTATTTGGCAATTCTGGTATGATCTCGTATAAGGTTGGAAGCTATCAGCCACAACCACTAAATCGGGCATTGGATATAAACTCAAAGAATCCGCATGTTTCCAATATATAGGTTGAACTGCTAACGATAAAGGTGATAATGTACATTGGCTCAACAAAGTCTTCGTTAAATGATCTGGTATGTCGCCCGCATCAGGAAAATGAACAGAATTCCTACACATCTTTGTCACTAAATCCTGTCTTATAACAACAATTTCCTGTGTACAGTATTGAATTCTGCATGGATTTGATGTAAAAATAACTGAATCCCCCAATTTGTTTTTAATATCTTGTGTGATGAAATTCGGTATAGCTGGACGAGGTAATATGTTAGGAGCAGCGGGGTCGCCTCTGCCCGGAACGAATATAAACTTACATGATTCTCTAAGCTTTTTGAAGGGAAGAATCATATCACATAAGTTACCAAGAGCAGCTTTTAATTGTGTACTATGCTCATATCCATATGGACAGGATAGAAATTCACCCATAAACACTATAGCTATAGGAGGAAAATCATTATAACCAGAAAATAATGTTTTTAACTTTGATATCACTTTTATATTGTCGAACCAAACTTCGGATAGAAATATTATCATACCATCTTCATTCTCCTTTTCAATCTTAAGTAAATTCTGTGAATGCTTCAATAAAGTTTTCGATTTACCTCCAAATGTATTTAAATTACCAAAATATGGTAATGATGTTTCACGAGTCTCGGAAGGTGGTAATACTAGACCCATTACATGTAAAACTTTATCATCATAATACCCCTCGGCTAAAACAAAACTACTCTCAGTAAACAAACCGGAATGATATCGAGTTTGACTCATATCTAAAGGAACACTGCCTGTCGGGTCTTCTAAATAGTATTTACCCTCGGTCAATTGTGTTATAAGACCCAGAACTATAACTTCATCCACTCGGCTTGAAGAACTTTGTAAAACCTCAATAGTCCGTAACTGAAATCGATTCTCATTTTCCATGGACGGCAAAGCTTCTCTAGCAAATAGTTTATTACGTGATGTTCTCTGCTGAATTATCGTGTACCTTTCAATAAAAAGCTGTGCCTGCCACTTTGGTTCGGGATATAAATTATTCTTAACATTAATTTCTTTAGTAAACTTCTTTCTATCGCTATCATAACGCAGCTTGGGGACATTTAATGCATCGATGACATTTAGTATAGTCTCACTCTCTTCAAGACCCGATGACAAACATTCTTTGTAAGCCACTTCTAGGTGCTGCTTCTCTAATACTGGTTGAGACAGACATTGATGTAAAATATGTTCTATTAATTTATCAAGAATTCTTTTACGTTCCTCTTTTGACACCGCAGCCACTTGTTCAGCAACAAAAGTACTTGCTTCCTTTCTAATTGTAAACCCGTTCAGTTTGAAAGCGCTATTCACTTCAGAACGTACAGTTTGCAAATCTGCCATTATACTTTATATTGAGCTTATCTAATTGAAACAAGTACCATTTACATTAACAAAACTTAAAATTGTTCATTTTAAACGAATGAAGCCGCCAAAACAAAACATGAAACATAATCTGACGTTTATCATAACATTGACATTAGCCATTTGTGATCGGAAATCGTAAGTTTAAATCGAATAGTTGTTTGATTCTAAAAGGTTTTTAAAATCTCAACGGACACTTAACACTACTTAGTATATGATGACAAAATTTGCAAAATAAAAGGTATTTAAATAAAAATAAATCATTATAGTAATGAAAAAAATGACATCTATTAGCGAATAACATCAGCTGACGTTGTAATTTTTATTTGGGTAAAAGTTAAAAGATAAATAAAACAACTATCTTTTATATAAAACATGTATATTTGATCCCATAGTCACGTAAAATATTTCATATCTCAATTACATTTTATGTAAAGGTATAACATTTTGTGGTTTATTTTATTGTGCAATAAATCTATAATTCAGATTTAAATAATTCCTGAACTATATATAATGTTAGTTAATACATATATTTAGGATTCTAACAAAATTATTAAAAAATATAGATTTCTTAAAAAGCCCTTATTTTATTTTAAATAACTAATAAAATCTTAACTAGAACTAACTAATTAGTATTATCTTAAACCAAAACACCCTTAATATATTTTTAATTAAAAAAGACACAAGTTCGTTGACCAAATACTTTCCCGCGTAAAACTGAACAAACCAAATGTCATCGCTTTAACATCACTTTGGGTGCGTTTGGGAATTTAAACTTTAAAGGTTCCGTTCAAATTAAATGTGTGTTACCTAAATATAGAATAATTGTAACACATGATAAGAACGAGTTAGCTACACTAGCCACAAGTCCGTCCTCTCGCTCGCACACGCCAGTTATTCGGATGTGAGAGCGAGACAGTAGACCGCGAGATGTCTGACCCTAACACGATAAGTCACTCTCAGCTTGTGTTATAAGAGCGAGTTAGCTACACTAGCCCTAATCTGTCCTCTCGCTCGCACACGCCAGTTATTCGGATGTGAGAGCGAGACAGTAGACCGCGAGATGTCTGACCCTAACACGATAAGTCACTCTCAGCTTGTGTTATAAGAGCGAGTTAGCTACACTAGCCCTAATCTGTCCTCTCGCTCGCACACGCCAGTTATTCGGATGTGAGAGCGAGACAGTAGACCGCGAGATGTCTGACCCTAACACGATAAGTCACTCTCAGCTTGTGTTATAAGAGCGAGTTAGCTACACTAGCCCTAATCCGTCCTCTCGCTCGCACACACCAGTTATTCGGATGTGAGAGCGAGACAGTAGTCCTTGAGAGGTCTGACCCCACCGCGGCCGGCCACTCTCAGATTGTGTCCCTTCACAGCGGTGTTAATGTAAGCGTTGTGTAGTTCAGATACTTGTGTGGAACACGCGGCCGCCGGGTCGCCTGATGATGACAGCTTCTTCAACCTTGGAGGGATAACAGATTAACTTATAGACAGATGTATGATTAAAAAACAATGCTACAAATCTGTAATATTTCTGTGCAAAAAAAGATTATCTGTGGTATAAGGATTTTTGGAATTTAAATCGAATAGAAAATAGAAATACAATTCTATAGACACGAATAGAGTTCGAACTTGTGAATTTAGAATCTAGGTTTAACCTTTAATGATTTCTTAGCTCATAATAACATACATGTGAGAGCGAGGGGATCCTCGTGGAAGAGACCAAGACCCTAGTACCTTGAAAGGCTTTCGGGTCCGGGCGTTTAGTATATCGGCGACGTAGCACGGGTTTCCATTTTAAAGAAAAGAGGGTCTTTACTTATAATGTTACACGTTTATTGCTTAACAAATTCCCACAATGACTCAAGAATTGTTTAGCAGAGATTCTACCAGAGTGACCCCTAAGAGCGACCAATGTAGAATTAATTCAGTATGATTATGCTCGGCCTTTTATATGGTAGATTCTGTTTTACAATTGTAGGTACTTGAACAAAAATAATCACCTGATATTTTGTTAAGACTATTTACATAGACGAAGTGGGTAATTTGAAAACATTTACAATGGTTTCTTAGAACAATTATTAAAACTTAAACGAATTCGCGGAAAGGCTTATTTTCTTGGTATGATGAATCTCCCGGCGCGACACGGCCATACTGACGGTTGGTGCGTGCTCAGCGCCAACGTCTCGCTATCATGAGGAGTTGAGATCCAATCAGAGATGCATCAAATCTGAAATTATTATTATTTTAATTACTTTTGTAGTTGCAGAATTTTGTTGATGTCGTGATGAGCATACACTACACGTGTCATGCCATCTTTTTGTAGATTTTGTTTTTTTTTTTTTTTTTTTTTTGTAGATGTGATGTGCATACACTACACGTGTCATGCCATCGGTTTGTAGATTTTGTTTTTTTTTTTTTTTTTTTTTTGTAGATGTGATGAGCATACACTACACGTGTCATGCCATCTTTTTTTAGATTTTGTTGTTTTTTTTTTTTTTTTTTTTTTGTAGATGTGATGAGCATACACTACACGTGTCATGCCATCTTTTTTTAGATTTTGTTGTTGTTTTTTTTTTTTTTGTAGATGTGATGAGCATACACTACACGTGTCATGCCATCTTATTTTAGATTTTGTTGTTTTTTTTTTTTTTTTTTTGTAGATGTGATGAGCATACACTACACGTGTCATGCCATCTTTTAGTAAATTTTGTTTTTTTTTTTTTTTTTAGATGTGATGAGCATACACTACACGTGTCATGCCATCGTGTTAGCAGAATTTCATAGATGTGATGTGCATACACTACACGTGTTATGCCATCGGTTTGTAGAATATTGTAGATTTTGTTTCCGGTGCTATTCATAAGCTTGTTGTCATCACACTTATCAATATGCGACACTGCCATCCGTTTGTGTGGGTTAGCAAACTTTTGTGGTCATTCCTGTAACATAAGTATAGCGATCATTATCAAATAGAAATTAAAAATCTCGTAGGGTTTACTAGATTTTATGAGATCCAATCCCTTACTGTTTTAAAACATAAAGTAAACAGATATTGCAAGTTCTTACAATCGAGTGACTACAAGACTACTCATGAATACTTAAGGCATCCTTAAGTTATTTAAAGATACAACAAAACCGTGGTTAGCTAAAGGGTAGCACATGATTAGCATAAAGGTGTAACACTCCAGATCTGTGATGTACACTTGACTTCTGATAGCTCAGCAAGGCGTCCCTACAAAATCTGATGGTTCACAATTCACATACGGATACATCATGGTTATGAGGTTAGCTTATTATTAGATTATTAATATTAGAGTATTAACACATGTTAAACTCAGAGGTACCATTCTCTGAATTTCGTATACCACAATAGACGGTTATCGCGTCAGGTAACGCGGCACCCCGAAGCGAGTCACTGTTCCCGTCGTGGCTGATGGAAACTGGGCTGTAGAGGCCAGTGGTTGAAAGCGCAGCCTGTTCCGATCCCCATTTGCTCGGCTAATACCCGACTATACGGCAAAAATATTAATTCCAAAACTATGACATAAAGTTTTATTCACTCCTATTAACTTACTACCTCCTCAACGATTATTTCTTTTGGTGTATCGAAACAACCAAGTAAATGCATCACTTGTTCTAAAGTTGCCAAAATACTATAGTGGCTTTTGTCTATGCACAATATAGTAACACGTATTTATCTATTTATTTATTATCTCAATTTTGTACAACAATAAAGTATTATTTTTATACCGTATTCATCTATAAATAAATTCAATAGTTTTTAATTCTTCTTCAATCATTTATTAGACGATTAATTTTCTAGACCAAGCTAAATGATACTACATCTCTTTACACTTTATTTCGATCTGGCAAAAGGTTTAAGAACCGATTTTTTATCTGGCAAATTAATTCTGAGCCTTTAGATAGTTAAATAGCATGCTATTCAATTCAACATTGCCGATTGGCACCGTTTAAACAACAATAAAAATATCTGGTAATAATAAATTTATGTTGTGAATAGTTCAATAAAAATAATAATAATAAAAAAAAACCTTCTTAAAATGATTTGAAATAATAATTTGTTTACCTGCACAAGTACGATGCACACTTAGGAACGTAACCACTACCGGCAGCCAGATAGCCCGTATGACGTCCAGGAGAGTGTGAGAGATAGCATATCTAAAAACTAGCCTACCTGAAATTCTTGTTCAAAAACGTTGATAGCTCTTAGAATATATTTGACATAGACATGACATGATTATATTTAGGATTATATGTTCCTGTTATTAGTTTGTAGTTTACCAGCAACGGACATTTAGATAACTTCAAACGGTGATGAGTGTTGTATATGGGATGCAACCGGAATTGTTCTGAAACTGATAAAATATGGATTAGACAATCTATTTATAGAAGTGCGAATAAGACTTATTTTCTTTTTAACCAATAGGATTCGTTTATTTTAAAGAATATTTTCCTCAATCCGACATGTCATTCTTTGAAATTAATAGGATTTGAAATAAAGAAGTTAGCAATCTGTAATCTAAGACGTTACCTATATTCAACACATAAATCAAATTTTTTAAGAAAAACATATCAGAGGTAAATACATGAAAATCTACTTCGTACTTAGATCTTTTCGAAGAGTTAAAGACTGTTAGAATTTCTTACCATAGAAGTTCTTTAAAGAGTTTAAAATTCCTGTAAATGGTAACTATTTTCAACATTACTTAGTACTGCCTCGTAACCAAGAGATCAGTATTAGTAGGTTGGAGGTTAGAAATAAAGGAACGTTAAGCCGACATTTGACTTGGGTGTATTCGGAATGTGCGCTGGCAATATGAAGATATTGACAAGCTGTCGACGTAAAGACATGGTACTGGATTATTTAGAGTTGATTATTGTATAACCGTGATCCTAATAAATTAGAGCGCGGAATAGAAGCCGTATTAGTTAATTAAAGATGAATTCAGACGAACGCCCCCTCTCTTGCCTGTTAAGTATATAGTTCTATAGGATCGTTTTATTTAAGTATGGAGAGAACAGGCACAGCCGTTAAGAAGTTTATTATGATTTTACAAGCCATCTTGTGACCTGAGTTTCAATTTTCACCTTTGGTTGAAGCTAAAGAGGTGTCACGAGTGGGTGGAGAGGTGAACACGAGAAAAAATTGGAAATGAATTTTTGTAATACAGCCTGTAAGACCGTTCAATAGTTTTTCTTGGTTAATGATTCTGGGAATAGGTGATTTTATAAAATTTTAAGGCTTTGTGGAGTAGATAAATATTTAAATCATTATAAATAATTATTACTAACACTATATTTAGTTTTTAGACGCCTTTATCTAAAGCGTGTTCTAATTTTAGAACAGTATGTACAAATGGGCTTCATTGTCACTTCGTACGATACGAGTACATATTTACAATTAGCATTATTGTAAAAATAGCAATCTCCTTAGGAGCGACATGGTTTTGGATCTATTGCAAAATGAGCTAGACCTAATCGAAAGGTCTTTGTTTGAAGAGAAATGGGAGGTTGTTTTTGAAACGGGAGGTCTGTTTTGGACTAGTAATAGCAGCCACAGAAATTATTATAGATACGGTGAGAGTACTTAACTTTTGTCACTTGCATTTCCAATAACTCGTGCTGAGTTGTATGTCGAACCAGGCGATTTCATGTAGACGATCCGGCGGTTGAATGTGAAGCGTGAGACGTCCTCGCTTCTGATGTGAGAGCGAGGGGATCCTCGTGGAAGAGACCAAGACCCTAGTACCTTGAAAGGCTTTCGGGTCCGGGCGTTTAGTATATCGGCGACGTAGCACGGGTTTCCATTTTAAAGAAAAGAGGGTCTTTACTTATAATGTTACACGTTTATTGCTTAACAAATTCCCACAATGACTCAAGAATTGTTTAGCAGAGATTCTACCAGAGTGACCCCTAAGAGCGACCAATGTAGAATTAATTCAGTATGATTATGCTCGGCCTTTTATATGGTAGATTCTGTTTTACAATTGTAGGTACTTGAACAAAAATAATCACCTGATATTTTGTTAAGACTATTTACATAGACGAAGTGGGTAATTTGAAAACATTTACAATGGTTTCTTAGAACAATTATTAAAACTTAAACGAATTCGCGGAAAGGCTTATTTTCTTGGTATGATGAATCTCCCGGCGCGACATACACATAGTGAGAGGAGTATTTACATTTAAAGAGGACCATTTAAACATTTCTCTTGACCATTCTTACCAGAATTCGTTTCCCGGGTGTGCGTTTCCGTCCCAGGGGTAAGTCATGACTAGTAACTTGCCCGCGTGTTCGCCTGACAACTTGGAAGAAGGCTCTCTGTTCTCTAATTGTATTTTTATTCCACCTTTAATATAAAATACCATGTATATATTTATATTGGCTCCCATATTAGATACTAGTTTAAAAGTACCCACCATTTGGATGTCGTTTACTTTCAAAGAATATAAACTTTTCGCCTGACGAATTATTCTTCTTCGATTTTGTGAAGAGTGCTGCAATTTAAACACATTTATTTAACATTCTTTACAAAAATTGAATCAAATTAAAGGTACTAAATATAATTTTTAAGAACCTTTTATACTTGGACTGGCTTTTATGTAACCAAAATTAACATCTGTCACGTGGTTTAATAGATCCTTCTTAAGGAAAGCCCGGATCCTCTCAAGGAATGTTAGTACATATACATCTGGTTGATGTGGGGACGTCTTCCATACACCCAAACCTTAAAAAATATTTGGGTATAAAGCTTCTCAACAAATAAAACCGTTGTTTATGGGTCAGGTGTTTTTTTGAGACTGTAACATTATGTAAATCCTGCAAAAATTATTAATGGTTATGCGTTATTTAAATCAATGATTGATATTAACTACTCTCGAGAATAACTGCTAAAAAAAACTTGTCTCTTTATTTCAAATTATATTCGTATAATTCACAAACGCGACATTCTCATAAATTCTTTGGTAGGTATGTCTTTTTAAAGGTCGAATAGATTTGACAAATAACAAGTATTGTTCAAGTACGATTAGACCTGTGGAAATCTGAACCCTTTAAACATATTCCGGCTCAGGTTAACTTTTCAAAACCATTTTACAAATATACTAAGAGTTACGCTTTAAAACCAGTAGATATATTTCATCTTACAATAAGAACTGTTACATTTGTTGGGGCATAAATCAGAAGTGAGATTACAGGACTTAGTTTGTGGCTTATCAAAGAGTTTTTTTCTTTTAATATGTATACCTAATCCCAAATGACATTCTTATAGGCGTAAGCTGTGACTGTGAATCGGAATGAGCCTTTCATTCTCCTTTCCTTGTTATGGAAAAGATATAGGTGCCCTAAATGGGCTTATTTTATTTATAAGTGCTTACTTTGTTATATGTTGTAAAAATTTTGTAACTTTATGGCGGTATATAAATAGTATAAAATCGTCGAAACACTGATTATCTAATATTTTTATTTTATTGAACTATCGCTAATGGACTATTTTCAGTTCTTCGTTGGACTTTTTATGCGAATCTCTGAGATAAAGAAATTAAATAGCACCAATTAACTCTAGTCGATCTGTAGCAATAAAAGACAAAGGTAGATGGAATTTCTTCTGTTTTTTTCTTATTTTTTTCTTCTCTTTCTATCTTCTTTCTGTTTAATGACCACTCAAGTGGCAAGAACCTCAGAGATTTCCTTATCATTCTAGTCTTAAAGTCATTAAAATTTGTGAATAACAGAGTTCTCTTTAATATTAAAACATAATAAAAACGTGCTATGGCCAGCACTAAGTAGCAAAATCATTCAGAATTTATTCACACTATATGAATATTTCACACGTCATATATGTATTATTGAAATGTATTTCCTATATATCTGCAATCTTCTTCAGTGATTTTTTTTTTGTTCCTTTGACTATCCAGTTATTTATGACCTACCATAATGGTAGTGTAAAAATTTAATTATAAATAAGTATAACTTCTTTTTGAATATTATTTACAAACATAAGTATTACTGTACATACATAGATTACAGGAAAATCTATCGCAATAGTTAAAATATGAGTCTATTATTAAATATTTGAATGAATCGTCGATATGTGAATATGAAAGAACGAATGAATGAATGATAAATATCCCAACTTACCGCATCCTATAACATTAATGAACGCATTCTTTCCACATTCACTCGCTCTATACTCCGCCTCCATGAGAGTAGTTTCGGCTAAAATGCATATCCGCTTGTAATACACCTCATTGTCAAATATATCTTCAGTTTTCGGTTTCTTTACATATCTTTCCATGTACTTTTTACTTTTATCTTGTATTGTTACACGCGATAAAAGCTCGTCGTATGTATAACGGCTAGACTGAAAATTAATTAATTGAGGGTACACACATAAATGAGGGTGTTTGGATCTAGAATCCAAAGACAAAAAATCTCTAGAAAACCAAAAAAATTTAATCTATATTTGACAGGCCGTTTATTGTTTATCCATTGATTTAAACAGTTTTTCATATAAAAATTGTTAATATTTTCTCCACTTAGATTTTCAAATTTCTATAGTTTTTTTCTCTTTTCCCAACCAAGTTCACTATGTAAATAATTTCAATATATGGAAAATAAATAGATTAAAATCTTCAAAGAAAAATTTGTAGGCCGTCTATCCCTACTAATATTATAAAGGAACTCTGTCTGTCTCTCTGTCTGTCTGTTACGCTTTCACGCCTAAACCAATGAACTGATTTTAATGAAATTTGGTACAGACATAGAGTTGACATTGAGAAAGAACATAGGATAGTTTTTATGCCAGACTTTGGAAACTCGTTCTCTTGGAAACGCGATATAACCGAACTCCACGCGGGTGAAGCTGCGGGCGGAAAGCTAGTATATTATAAATGATTAGTCTTGTCATAAGGTGTAATGAATGAAAGAGTGAACAAATGAATGACTTACTTGATAAAACTCTGACCACATTTTCCTCCACATGTACTTGGCTGAGTTACTGGCTGTTGGAGTAACTTCCTCACCGTAGCCATTCTCAATACAATTCTGTTCTTCAGTTATCAGAATATCCTCGTTGTCCATACGACATCGACGTTGGAAACGAGGACCAATCAAACCTATAATAAAAAATACTTACTTGAAAATGGCTAAAATAAGTTAATAAGACATATTACTGCGTAATTTTCTGGAATCTAAGCCTCATCTTGATATCTAATCTAATAAGTTCCATAAAGAAGATAAAAACTTGTAGAGTAGAGACAAATTTAGTCCTAAATGTGCCAAAATACATGTACCAAATACCCAAATACGACTAATCGATTTATTTTGCCCACCCTACCCCAAAACTATGCACACCTTTAAGATTTTAGATTATGCCCTTAATTTAGCAGATACTAGGCCATCTTTATAACCTATGTCTTAATCCCATACTAATGTTGTTAATCACTCTCACCAATAATAACAGCCTCCTCCTCCACTCCCTCCTCCTCCACGACTCCCGAGTTCCTCCTCCTCCCATCATTGATACAGTAAGTCAGCCCGCTCACATACAACATAGATGACAACTTCATCTCGTCATAACTCAGACAGTTCTCCAGTACTAGGGGAGCCTTCTGTTGTAATGTACCTACAGACTCCCAGCCACCGGAACTACGTTATAAAAAAATATGTAAATGAAATCAGATCTGCAGCCAAAATAGAGAAACTTCTGTTCACTCTGTTTTGTCTATGAGTTTGGAAAATACATAAGTAAGCGTTCTCTTTGTGATAAAATATTTAGTTGGGAAATCTACCAGCAGTATACGTACATATTTCAAGTGAGGAGCTTCTAGTTTTGAAGATATTTTTTTGTGAATTAGAAAAGATTTTGTATAAGTAACAATTTTACACATATTATTGATAACTGAGTAGAACATTAGATGGCCAAACATTTAACAAAAAAGAATTCATATGAGTTTTTTTCCTACCAAAACACAGTAAATTTCAGTCTTGAATGAAGTTACAATTGCATATTGCTCTGGTTGTTATTAATGATATAAATATAAATGAATGGATTGACAAAATAACTGAACTATGACTAACTCTTTTCATTACTGAATCACAAGTTTGTTTTCTATATAAATGTGTCTTTTTCTCTTGCTACGATATATTACTTACCCGGTTGCTCCAGTGATAAGTTGATATCTATCGCGTGGTCCTAGGAATGATACTGCTCTTTTGTTTAATATTCTTTCAATAAAATCTGTCACACTCATGTCTTTGTAAAGACTTTTTTCAATATTAGACCCAAATTCCCTGTGACAAAAAGTTCAAAATAAAAAATACAAAAAACGAAAACAGTAGGTATTTATTTTAATAATTGAGTATAAAAAAATGTATACATTAAAAGTTTGAATAGAAATTATACTGACATTGTAGAAAAATGGAAAGCAAGAAATTTAAAGGAGAATTGGATCAATTCATATTTTTTTCTTATCACGTGACTCCAATTGCGCCAAAAGTGGTAGTCTTGATTGTGACGTAATAATGTTAAAATGTGGTATTGTTTATACAAATTGATGCTATACAAGAGGAATAACATAAGAATTGATATTTCCTGTTTATATGAAAAATATTGACAACAAAACATTATGTCAGATGTCACGCGCATTTAGGTTTTGCAGAAACTATCGGCGTGTATCTAGTACTGAATTTTTTATATAACTATTTAATTATAATGAAAAAGTTAAACACACATATTCCACATTGTTATTTGTGTGTAATAAGGATATAATTGTTCCAAAGGTCTGAAATATTATTTAGTATATTAAAGAGGATTTTAAATATAAAATCGTTGGGTAAATTATTTCTTTTTACTAACCTTTTATAAATGAGGAAATGAGTCATCAGTAGTAATACTCTTTCATGTATTAATGGGTAAGTTGAAACAATGTTCCTTTTTAACTTATCTAATGATTTGCGCTGTTTTAGCTCAACTAACCTGAAGAAATATTAGAAGTGGATGATAAATTTTAATTACCATATAATTTATTTTTACCTTGCTGTAAAAATTTGGTGAGTGAAATATAACTAATTGACAATAAAAAAAATGTAGGAAATGAGCAAAAACACAATAGAACAAAATGTATTTATACAAACACAATAGAATAGTTTTATAATGGGTTCGAAAAAAATTCGTAATTAAAAATGAGTGTGAACAAAGATTAACATCCGTACATTTTACAGTTTGTCGTTTAAGGAGGCTGAAATGCAAGCTAGGCTTTGTAACTGTCAATTATATTAGGAGTCTCGATACTATAATAATCAATTACATGCAACTGTGTTTCCCTAGATTTCGTTCAAGAATTATGCTTAGGTAGGGCAGTCGTCACAAATATTGCTAAAATCGCAAGAATAATTACGTTGCTAATGAAATCCTGAAATGTCCCTAGGATGCATACCTTTTTTGTGGATGGGAAATGACAATTTTTTGAAACGTCATTTTGACTAAATGCATAGTATAAAAGTGCTTAACCATTTTGAATTTGTCCCGAACTAATATTAATTCATTCTTGGAACGCACGTCGAAGGCAGCCCTAGTAGGTTCTTTTCAAATTTGGTTTTGTAGGGAGAGGAGCTTGGTCAGTGGAGGTGAGCGTTTAACGCACGTTAGATAGGGGCCCTTAAACCTACACTTGGGTCGCAAGTCCCAGGCACTGTTGAAGCTCCTCTCCCTACAACGATGGACCCGACACACGCACCGTGAATACATTGAATGATGAGAGGTACGTCTCTTATCTGTTGAGACTACAACGGTTTCTTGTTGCTAAGAGGTCAAATATTGGTATATTCTAGATGATTAGATAATGAGGTTGAGGATAAAAAATGACACTTTGTTACCGGTCTTTTGACAATCTCGGATGGCATTTTTCTATATTTCTACTGTAAGTTTAGTTAACCACTTTTCTACTGTTTTATAATTCCAGAATGTATCAATTTCGTAACAACCACCTTTGTCCTAATGATCACATTCAGAACATACGTTCTCGTATTGGAATGATAATATTAGGGAGCGTTCAAGTATTACGTAACGCAATTTTCGAAGATTTTTGACCCCCCCTTCCCCCGTCGTAACGCACAGTAACGTTTTTCTGTAGCCCCCCCCCCCCCCCCCCTCTCTCAAAACGTTACGTAACACTCAAGTGATCAATTTCATCAAAAGACTTACAATGCAATCTATGTATTCCCCGTAGAATATCAATTAAGAGGTTTGCAAACTTGGAATAACAAATAAAAATATCGACCAGACTAATACAATCTGGTCAACAATGTAATGTATATGAAAAGAGTTGCCAGTTTGGGGGTTTTTATTAATATATTTTTTTAGAAACAATGCTACGTAACGTTTTCTAAGAGACACCCCCTCCCTCCCCAGTAACGCATCGTAACGTTTTACGAGACCCCCTCTCCCCCCAAATTGCGTTACGTAATACTTGAACGCTCCCTTACGATAATCATGTTGTCTTAGGTCATAACTTGTAATTCTGGAAATTTTGCTAGACGAAGACGAAAACTTCTCAAGACGAAATGGTTTCACCGTGCGGGAGGCGTTTCATCGCGTTGTAGTGAGAGGAGCTTCAACAGTGACTGGTACTTGTGACCCAGGGGTAGGTTTAAGGGACCCTTATCTAACGCGCGTTAAACGCTCACTTTCACCGTCCAAGCTTCTCTCTCACCATCGTACATATTTATCGACCATTATAGTTCAAACTGGAGCCGCTTTAAGGATAAGGCTTCTAGATCTCGTTAAGTTTCGTAGTTTTCTATAACATCTGTTTGGCAGTGAAAGTCAGTCTATGTGACTAGCGACTATGTATTATTAATAATTGTAAAAGAAATATCTATAAATATAACTATGTTTTTATTTATTTGTGAAATGTTTTAAGTATATTTTTAGTGCTTTACGTAAAGACAGCATTGAAATTATTACGAAAAATTAAAGGGAACTATAAATCCACATATTAAGAAAAATATCTATCGGGGGGTCATTAACTTTCAATAATATTATTGTAAAGCAACATAGCTTCCAAAGTTTGAATCTTATTTGATCAGTAGAATGTTCCCGTACTTTTTTTTAATGATTTATCTCGCACTTATTGTAAACATACCAATAATAATTGCGTGTAGTAGCAGCAACACAACAAAGTAAAATTCTACGATCCTTTTTCCTCAAAAGATGATACGATAATTTATCTATGGTCGGAGCAAGATAATAAAAGTTCTCAGAATTATGGCGGCATTTTTTATGTCATTAAATAAACTACGCGTAATAATGTCAATATATCAAATGACAACTGTCTCAAAAACTTGTGATTACATGTTTTAATATATCAATAATTAATTACCTCACAGTGTTTATGGGAAATGGAATGGGGAAAGCTTTACTCCTTTTGATAATCTCTTCAATGTCATCACATAATTCAACTTGTGGCAAGTCAACACATTGTCTTAGTAACTCATTTGTTTCTTTACTCATACTGGGATAGCACCAGTCTGGTTTACACCTAAAATATAAACAAGTGTTACCTGTGATTGGGATATTGTTGACAAATAATAAAAAAAAAAATTCATATATTTTTATTACAAATTATTTAATTTAGATGCATTATTTCAAACTTACCACGGAAAAGATTCCAAATTGTTTAAAATATCCATCTTGTTAAATGATTCGAAATTTTAAATAAACAATACTTATTGCTTTGTTCAAACTTGTGTAGTGTATTTTATTAGATAAAGTATCACGTCATCATTCACTCTTCGTAATGTTTATACTAATAATAACCTTGTTTAGTTTATACACTTTATACTCAAGCACATCCGCTTATCGTACAATATAATGAAATTTGGGAATCCCGCGTCATCATTCATATTTCAACTAATACAGTTATCTTTTTTTTTTAATATGGTCTTCATACCGTTCTGAGACGTGCGCAGTACATTCTGCCAATGTTAACTTATTACTAATGTACTGTATGTATTTAATGACATATGTCAAATATGTTTGTATCAATTGTCATAGACTAATCGTTTCTATAGAGATGTTCCTTAATGCCAAGTAGACCAAGAGACAACCAGTTAAAAGGTTAAAAGTTTCTTAATCTGAATAAGCAAATATAGTTTTTGAAGTGAAAATTCTTATACGAATTCCAATAAGGTTGCGTTAAACTTATGGCGCCCCTTGGGGGAGGGGGGAATGAAAATTGACAGAGGCGAAAGGGAATGTATTGCACTCGAATGCATGCGAGAAATCAATTTTGGTTTGTAAGTATGTAATGTTAATAAAATTGTCTTTAAGCAACACTAAAAAAATGTAGCAACAATAATTATTTCATTGATGTCTTTCAAAAACTAGAGTTTGTTGAACTACATCTACATCGACTATAAATAAGACAGAAAACTGATTGAGTAGTCTAAAAATAAATCAAACAATAATATTCGGTCTAATATTATATTTGTCTACACTACATCATATAAATAAACGATACATAGTTATACAAAATATTTCATATATCATTTACAATTATACATTAGCTAAAATTATAGCAAGTTTAGGCTTATATTACGCTAATATGGAACATAAAGTTACATATATATAGCTTTATAGAAATAAATGCAAAAAAGAATGTCAATACGCATCAATATTATAGAATTTAAAATACCTAATAATTGTCATTATAAATACAAATCACAGTCTTATAACTTACCCACTTTGATCGATCTTCCATAACAGTTACAGAACTTATTTGTAACTACCTTCAATATTCTTCATGTTTATATACCAAGTTATTTGTGAAAGCGCTAAAATATAATGTCATTTATTTTTATATTATTTATCCAATACATAGTTTTAATTTTTTATCATTATTTGCTACACAAAATTAAAATAAGTAGGTAAATTGACGCTTATATATCATTGGCTTAACAAGAGGGTATTCCGAGAAATTTAAAATTATGACATTAGTGCCGTTAAAACATATATTTTTTTATATTGCAAAATAAAACTTAAAAAGTATTTGCTAAAATATTTTAAATACAGATAATATTTTTTTTATTCGTCATGGCCAAAATTAGTAGTAATAAAATTATGTATGGTGGTAATGTTCTATAAAATTTTATACAAAATAAATACCACTAATTAACTAACTATATGTGCGATTCTCGTATTTCTATGGCTACAGCTTAAATTCCGGACTATATATTAAGAATTGACATAAAATAATACGCTATAGATTATATAAACGCACCTAAATTGCATTTCTATTATTTAATCTACATTTTTATATTAAATAACAAATTCGTACATTCACTAGTGGCAACATTGATAAAAAAAAGTATAAAATAAGAATACATATTGACAAAAAAAAAACATGTTTGTCACATTAATTTAATGGAAATAATACAATTATATTACTTTTATTTCCATGCTTGGTTTTGTGACAAAACTCAAAATACTATTTGGCTTTTCCTGGTCAATTTAATCCTATGTATTGCTAGCGACAGTTGGATAAGAGCGAGTTAGCTACACTAGCCACAAATCTGTCCTCTCGCTCGCACACACGAGTTATTCGGTTGTGAGAGCGAGACAGTAGACCGCGAGCTGTGTGACCCTATCGCGGTAAGTCAATCTCAGTGTTATAAGAGCGAGTTAGCTACACTAGCCACAAGTCCGTCCTCTCGCTCGCACACACCAGTTATTCGGATGTGAGAGCGAGACAGTAGTCCTTGAGAGGTCTGACCCCACCGCGGCCGGCCACTCTCAGATTGTGTCCCGTCACAGCGGTGTTAATATAAGCGTTGTGTAGTTCAGATACTTGTGTGGAGCACGCGGCCGCCGGGTCGCCTGATGATGACAGCTTCTTCAACCTTGGAAGGATTACAGTAACTTAGTAGCTCATATAAGGTATATTAACAAGTTAAATTCATGCTATTAATGTATATGTGAATTACAACGATGTTTCGTTAAAAGGATTAGAATCTGACAATATATTAAATGGAGCATGCATTGTAAAGTATTCTCCATCTCGCTCGCACTATCCTCTACTTTGTTTAGTGCGAGAGAAACAGACAATTTCCCCCACTCATTCCAATAAAGAGAAAATATTTATGGTATGTATATTCATATATTATTCTCCATCTCGCTCACACCTCCGTCTACTCTGTTTGGTGCGAGTGAGACAGACAATTCCCCTCTTAATCCCAATAGTAACATGTACGTTCATGGTATGTACATTCATATATCACAGTCCGTCTCGCTCACACCTTCCCCGCTACTGTTGTGTGTGAGTGAGACAGTATTCCCTCATCGGTAGTAGTCCCCCCTCTGCCGCCACTCTCACAGTGTGTCGTGTGAGCGTCGTGTTGATGTGAGCGTTGTGTAGTTCAGACACTTGAGTTGAACACGCGGCCGCTGGGTCACCCGACGTTTTCAGCGAACCGAACCTGAAATAATAAAAATCTACCAAAAGCAAACAACATCTATGTATAAAGCAAATATTCTTACCAGAATTCGTTTCCCGGGTGCGCGTTTCCGTCCCAGGGGTAAGTCATGACTAGTAACTTGCCCGCGTGTTCGCCTGACAACTTGGACGAAGGCTCTCTGTTCTCCAACTGAATGTTTATTCCACCTTTAATATAAAAAACACCATTTTTAATTTATATTGACTGCCATATTCGATACTAATTTAAAAGTACCCACCATTTGGATGTCGTTTACTTTCAAAGAATATGCGCTTCTCAACTGGCGAATCATTCTGCTCAGAATTTGTGAAGAGAGCTGAAATATTCATAATTTTATCATTTTAACCATAATATTGGTAGCAATAAAAAAAACAGTGTGCTTTAGACAACACGACTGAAGTAAAACTTCTTTCGCTCCATCTATATGTAATATGTATATAAATAAATTAGAAAGATATCTTAAGAAAACTAAAAACGAACTACTGTGCTCGCGCACTGCTCTCTCCCTTGCCCCTGCAGTAATATACGAACCGTAACACTCTCTATCTATTTTCACTAACTTATATCTCCCTTTCACTTTCGTTCGCCTCGCCCGATCACACTTTTCGTAACGCATTCACCAGCTTACTCCAAAGTCGAGCATACCTAAACAAGTTTTACTTCAAAAATCTTACCATCTATACTCGGACTGGCTTGTATGTAGGCAAAGTTAACGTCTGTCACGTGGTTTAATAGATCCTTCTTAAGGAAAGCCCGGATCCTCTCAAGGAATGTTAATACATATACATCTGGTTGATGTGGGGATGTCATCCATACACCCAAACCTTAAAAAACACAATTATTAACGTTAGATACAATATTAGAGAAAATTTTGTTAGTGAAGGCCAGAGAAGATTTTATAATTTATCTATGTTTGGTGTTAACTTATAGGTTTTATTAAAAGTTGCAGTGTGAAAAAGTCAAATAATACATATATGATATACAAAAAGGTTGTTGTGGTAAAACAAACGCAAGTACAAGAAATAACATCATAATTGGAATAGTATAAGATTTTTAGATGACATTTATAAATTACACACTTTGAATAAACCATATATGTATATATTAGAAAGAGATTTGATGAATGAATGAACGAATGAATGATAAATGTCCGAACTCACCGCATCCGACAACATTAATGAACGCATTCTTTCCACATTCACTCGCTCTATACTCGGCCTCCATGAGAGTAGTTTCGGCTAAAATGCATATCCGTTTGTAATACACCTCATTGTCAAATATATCTTCACTGTTCGGTTTCTTTACATATCTTTCCATGTACCTTTTATCTTTATCGTGTATCGTTATATATGATGAAAGTTCTTCATAAGTGTAGCTATGGACCTATAAAATTATGTATAAGGTTTTGAACAGAACTATGTAATGCAAAAAGGATATAAATATTGATATAATAGGGAATTATTACTTACTTGGTAAAATTCGGACCACATTTGTCTCCACATATGTTTTGAAGACTGATTATTTCTAACGTAAGTCGTCTTCAATACATTGAGGCAGGTTGTTGGAGTAACTTCCTCACCATAACCATTTTCAATACAATTCTGTTCTTCGGTTATCAGAATATCTTCGTTATCCATACGACATCGACGTTGGAAACGAGGACCAATCAAACCTAAACATAGAATAGTTTCAAGCATATGATGTATTAACAAACCTACTTGCTGTAATTTACAAGCAAGAAATTAAAAAGAAAAATAGGTTACAACGAAAAAGTATATATTATATTTCAGTCATATAGTATTTGACTTCTTTTCAAATATTTTTTATAAATAGTATTTCTATTTAGGGGCCGTTCAAGTATTACAGATTTATTATAATTATTTACCCCCCCCCCCCATCACCCTTGTCAGCAAAAGTAAGCAGAGCTCTTACCCCATCCCTCCATGCTTACGTAAACATTTTCAATTACTGTATTTTTTTTTTTTTATTATAAATCCAGAAAATAATTATAATCATATTTTCTTATGGATCTACTCGATGTGACGATTAAGAAGTAAATAATTACCGATGACGTAATCATCATCTAGACTCCCCTACCCCCCCTGCCATTCAAAATAAACAAAGCAAAGACCCCCCCCCGCCCCTCCATAAAGCTTACGTAATACTTGAACGGTCCCCTATGATCCTTCATAACTACGCTATCTTTATAGCCTATGTCTTAATCCCATACTATTGTTCCACATCTCTCTCACCAATAATAACAGCCTCCTCTTCCACTCCCTCCTCCTCCACGACTCCCGAGTTGTTCCTCCTCCCATCATTGATACAGTAAGTCAGCCCGCTCACATACAACATAGACGACAACTTCATCTCATCATAACTCAGACAGTTCTCCAGTACTAGGGGAGCCTTCTGTTGTAATGTACCCACAGACTCCCAGCCCTCTGAACTATAAAAACAAATTAGAGCAATTTTATATAATACTTAGAGAATAAATAATGACCAAATATTTTCACTATGTATTAAACAATGTGCTATCTTATAAATGGAATAAAAAAAAGTTGATGGTATGGTTCATTATTACCACAGATAACAAATATCTGGCTGGGTAAAATTAACAAATAGGTATTACAAAATTTTTATCTATTGCCCAAACACCAACTATCAAATATCAAGTTTTCTTGTATAAATTACTAAATAAATTTATTTGATTGACTTATAAGCGAAAAACAATAAGTGTGTTAAAGAAAATTGACTTCATTCTGATTGATGTAGAAAATCTAAATAATTATTTTGATATCAAGCAGAAAATATATACTTTTTAATATGTATGATAATCTTCAATATTAAATAAACAAATATACAAATATTTAACAAAGGCAGAATTATAAGGTACAATAAGAAATCAAATATGTACTTAAAAATTAATAGGACTACATTAAATATGGTTATAGCAGAAGCGACTATTGAAGTCTTACTTAAATTAATGTGAATGTAAGAATGAATGAATGATTTGTTTGAATATCTTCATTCTTTCATCTCACTTTTAAGGTTTTAGCACAGACTATTAATAGTCATAGTAGAGTAAATAGTTGTAGTAGACGAACAGAGTAATAATAGTAATTAATTTAAGTAATTTTATTACTTACCCAGTTTCTCCTGTAATAAGTTGGTATCTATCGTGTGGGCCTAAGAATGATACTGCTCTATTCTTTAATATTCTTTCAATTAATTCTGGCACACTCATATCTTTGTAGAATGTTTTTTCAATACTGGACCCAAACTCTCTGCGAAAAAGTATGGAAATTAATAAATATACATACTTTTCTGAGGTTTTTTTTATTAGAGGAAGGTATATGTATCCTTATTAATAAATAAAGTATAAAACTGAAATTAAACATTAATATTATCAAAGATTTCATTAAAATAAACAATAATAATGTATTATTGTTACAAAATGTAAAAATGCATATATATTTTTTAAATTTAAGATAAAACGTTATAGGACAAATTCCAACATCATTACTAACCTTTTATAAATGAGGAAATGAGTCATCAGCAGCAATACTCTCTCATGTATTAACGGGTATGTTGAAACAATGTTCCTTTTTAACTTATCTAATGATTTGCGCTGTTTTAACTCTTCCAACCTGAGAAAACAGATTTAACTATTACTTTTTCTATAATGTATAACAATTATGATTAAATAAGGTACCTTGACTATATTTCCATTCAAAAACTAAATGTACCTAGTAAACCAAGTATCTCAAATATATCAATAGTTGTTACCTTACTGTATTTATGGGAAATGGAATGGGGAAAGCTTTACTCCTTTTGATAAACTCTTCAATGTCATCACATAATTCAACTTGTGGCAAGTCAATACATTGTCTTAGTAACTCATTGGTTTCTTTACTCATACTGGGATAGCACCAGTCTGGTTTACACCTAAAATATATAAAAATGTTGATAATCTAACATAAACAATGATTTTTTTATGTTTGCAAGAAAAATACTAATATTTATATCTCATTTCCTGTAGTAAAGTACTTCACAAGAAGAGGAATATTTTAATTAACATAAATATTATGTAAATTCCTTTATATCACCGCTTACCAAGCAATGTTTTGAAAATGGCGTAAAATATCCATCGTATAATATGTTACGGATATTTAAATAAACGATAATGTAATAACAGCTTATTCCAAAGTATAATTCTTTTTATTTCACAAAATAGGTTACTGAAACGGTCCCTCTATACGAGATGAAGTTATTGATTCAAAATCTTGTTTAATTTCTATAGTTTATGAAGAAACACAGCCGCTTATTGTGCAATACATAGCGATTTATAAACCTGCAACAATTCTTTACCGTCTAATCTGATACGCAAAACGCAAATCGGCTGTATGTCAAACTTATGTCAGATATCATATGTTTGTGTCAGTTGTCATAGCTCGTTAATCCTATAGACAAGCACTGGTTTTCAACAATATTTTACAGTTATTTCATTAGAAACGTTGACATTTGTAAATATTAAACAATTCTGTTGTAAATAAAGCCGTAGCTTAGAAAATAGTACTTGTAGAAATTTATCTTTAAATGACTAGAGAAAAATTTCGAATAATGAAAGAAATAAAGCTTTTGATTTTGATGTTTGTGTAAAAGTTATCTAGCAGTACCTAACTTTAACTAGGAAATTTAAATAATTGTTGCATAAATTTATTTTATATGTAGGTATACAAATTTACGTCATGCCCTTAACTGAAGCACATTGCATTTATGTTATTTAATTTAATTGTGCTGTTGCAAGTGCGTGCAATATTTAAATATTATTTTCAATTGTTATATCGTAGATAGTCAATATATTTTGCTTTATTAACATTACTGCAATACATTGTGATGAATCAAACTTAAATGTGTGTTCAATATATATTTTAAGAAAAGTTGAATAAATAAATAGGTATATTTTCTTTCAGGTGCAATCAAATAAAATGGATACTATACAGAATTTCAAAAGCGCTCCATGGTAAGTTTATTAGCAGTGTGTGCAAAATAATTAAATAAAACTCTATGATATAACTTGTTTTCTAAAGAATTATCAGGAAAACATATGTAAATTGTATTTTTCCAGGATTAAACAGTGTTGGAACTTATTGAAAATGAAAAATAAATCGGAAGAAATATTAAAGCAATGTAAATCTTTACCAAAAGAGGAGGGAACTATAGATTTGGATGCTTTAATTAACAACAGTAATTCCTTTCCTATACCATTTCCGATAGATACTGTAAGGTTAGTGATGCAAAATATATGATTTTTCAAAGATAATATATTTGGTTATGTTATATTAAAACTTTTTTAACAAGATCTCAAATCATAGCAACCAAAACCAATTATTACTTAATGTTATAGAGTCCATTTTCCTTATGTAGGGTCCTTAAAAGTCTAGTATGACTACTGAAAATCTTGATAAAACCAGTTTCTTTTGGGCTTGATTTCTCTTAACACCCGTAATGATTTTTAACTTTACATTAAACAAATTTTCAGTGTAGTGTTTATTGTTAGTAAAAATATATATTTATATTATGAATTATATATTTTCAGATTATCAGAGTTAAGGAAAAGAAAACCAGTTGAAAAACTGCTCAGAAATATTGAATCAACATATGCGCTTGTACATGAAAGGGTTTTGAGACAAATGGCCAATTTCTTAGTTTTTAAAAGGTAACTAAATTATGAAGAGAATATGTCTTTATCAAAAGTTTACTATCAAAATATCAAATTATTAACTGAACCATCAAAAAATTAGATTTTAGTGTGGTGGGTGAATCTCTAATACATTTTGCATATGATCTTTTTGAATTAGACAGTAAAAATTTGATAGTTATTTCTATGGAGGAAGTGGCAAAAGTTTTATGTATGTTAAGAAAAATTGTTTGGTTTATTAACAAAAATAGATTGTCCCATTGAGTAGGAATATATTTTTATCTTGTTATATATTATAATATATATATATATATATATATATATATATATTTCTATGTATTGTAAATATTTTGTTGTAGAGAATATGGATCAAGTATTGAAAGACAATTGTATAAAGACATGACAGTTCCAGAGTTTGTAAATAGGCTTCTACTTAAAAGGGCAGTCACTTTCATGTATCCGGAAGATTTCTATGTGTTGTTGACTGGGGAAAGAGAGTGAGTTATATTATTATTGAATTATTCATTCATTCATTCATCTTAATATTTATTTGTAATTTGTAATGATTGATATACATATTATAATATCATAGTATTTAATTAGTAATTTTTTCTCTTATATTATTTAATATTTTTATAAACTAAATACATATATACTTTTATGCTATGGATCATTTTCTGCAAAAATTCCTTTCTAACATATAGCAAATTTAATAAGTATACTTGAACGCATTCTTGAACACATATTCTTGTATGACACAATAAGAATTTTGTTATTCCCTTAAAGACGTCAAGCCTAATATATTTTGCAAAGTTATCAATTTAAATTTTTCTTACATTTCCTTTTAACACAAAACAAACTAATATATTAAAGAAGATTATAGTCTTATAAGCTATTAAATATATTAGTTCTGGTGGATGGTCTATATGCAAAAAACTTGATTGTCAATGTTTAGACAGTAGGTAAAAATTTTGTAATATTTATTTTTTCATCTTAACCTGCGAGATATTCGTTATCTGTGGTAATAATGAACCATACCATTAACTTTTTTTTATTCCATTTATAAGATAGCACATTGTTTAATACATAGTGCCGAAATTTGGTCATTATTTATTCTCTAAGTTTTATAAGAATTGCTCTAATTTGTTTTATAGTTCAGAGGGCTGGGAGTCTGTAGGTACATTACAACAGAAGGCTCCCCTAGTACTGGAGAACTGCCTGAGTTATGACGAGATGAAGTTGTCGTCTATGTTGTATGTGAGCGGGCTGACTTACTGTATTAATGATGGGAGGAGGAGGAACTCGGGAGTCGTGGAGGAGGAGGGAGTGGAAGAGGAGGCTGTTATTATTGGTGAGAGACATGTGGAACAATAGTATGGGATTAAGACATAGGTTATGTAAAGGTGGCGTAGTTATGAAGGATCATAGAAAAATACTACAAGAAGTGTTCCTGACTTGAAATTTTATGTGCATCTGTGTCAAAAAGTATTTTAGGATGTAGATAAATAAAAAATCACGATGTGATGATAATGAAGTTAATTAATAATTACCAATATAATATTTAAATGCATCAAAAATTACATGTTCCCAAAAAATTACATGTTCCAACCGCATACCGCGAATTCCCATGAGGTAATATCATCAATAGAAAATAATAAAGGCAGGAACGCAAATATTACTTTTACGTCGAAGAACAATCGTTTGTTTTTAATTATTTTATTTCCGTATTAGAGATTTCGACTTTTTTTTGTGAAATTATAATGAAATCTTTAATAGATCGGGTAATATTGTAAGTGGTGCTCAATTTAAGACTTTTAGGAATGAAATACTTGGCGATAGGGATCTTAATGAGTATATAGTAATACTTAACGTTTCTAATGAGGTAATAGACAAAGCAAATGAAAATATAATATGAGCACAAAATCATACAAGTATGGTAACATTGAATCGGATTTAATTAAACGATAAAGTAAATACGACTGCTTTGTTACCATGGAAAATTTTCATTAAAATAGATGACTTATTATTGAAGAATTTTCATCAAAATTTATTTTTTGGATTTAACTGTTTGGAATATTAAATATATATGTATAATTTTTAGGTCTAATAGGTCCACGTTTTGAACGTCATCGCAAAATGGATTACGAAGATGTTCTTATAACAAGGGATCAGAACACTGTTGAAAATGGTTTCGGACATGCTAATAATACAGATAGCTGTATGTATAAGTGGCGTCAAATGTGGGCAGAGTTTTATGATGTAAGGAAAATCATAATCTTTAATATTATGATACAGAACTAGGCGTTTGCTTTCTTAAATAAAATAAAAGCGATACGCAGTTATGCTTTCCTATTAGCAAAACTTTTGGCTAGATTATTTATTAGAATTGGCTCATATAAATTTGTTCATCTTTTCTTGCACATAATAAAACTTAGTATCCCTACTAAAATTATAAATGCGAAAGTAACTCTGTCTGTCTGTCTGTTACGCTTTCACGCCTTAACCACTGAACTGATTTTAATGAAATTTGGTACAGAGATAGAGTTGACCTTGAGAAAGAACATAGGATAGAATTTAGCCCAGATATTTGAAAGGTTCTCTTGGAAAGCTAGTATCAAATAAAATTGACGAAGCCCAAGCTAGTCATAGATAAAAGTAATTCTTTAACCAAAAAAAAAAAAATAATGAGCGCATTGTATCTTTGACCTAATATTCTTCAACTATTACTGTAATATAAAACAAGTAAATTAAAAATAACAATAACATTTTAAATAATAATATTCAATTGTAGGTTCCATCACTTCTTTATGCAGATATACTAGACGTAAAAACAGATGAAAAAAAATATCTAAGTAAATATGTCAGAATAGATGATAATACTGTATTTAGTAACGAGGTATATTATAAAAGAATTAGCGTATTGGCGGATACTACACTCTTAGAAGCTGAATTAAGAGCGAAACAAACTGGAAAAAATGCTTTTATCAATATTATTGGATGTGGTGAGTAAAAAATATAACAAAAGTAGTAAAAAGACCGGTTTAATAATTGAAAATTATTTTAAATAAAAAATATCCTACGTATTAATTATAATTAAATATAACACTTACAAATCACGAAGTCAGTGGTGGCCTAGTGGTTAAAAGGCCCACCTTTCATGCATGAGGGCGCGGGTTCGATCCTGGCAAGTACCAATGTGATTTTTCCGAGTCATATGTACTTTCTAAGAGTATTTAGACATCACTGATTAATGAATTCCCAAAGAAGGTTCATGACAGGCAGGCGGCCGTTCGTAAAAACAATTAGCCAAAACTATACACAACACTTAAGGCAGACCCTGGCTAAATCTGGAAAATTGCCAGGTAGAAGATTACCCTCAAAAATCACGCTCATAGTCGTGTAAGAATAGGACAAAAATGCTTTACATCATTTTAGAAAAGTTGATACTTTTACACTACTGAACGGATATTAAAAGAACATAGCTAAGAAATACTGTAAGGAAAATGATTACCAATAAACAAAATCGCATCGAAATTAGTACATCCGTTTGTTAGACGAGCGATCACACTCACACATAGATAAACCCAAACACACACACACATAGAAGTCAAACTTATGACGTAACAAGTAACAAATCTTTTGTGTGGATGTTAAAAAAAAGAATTATTCAAAACCGTTTTGCTTTTCAATTAATAAACATATCATGAATGACTCTTTAGTAATTCCATTAAAATGTGTCTGAACAATATTTATTAATAATCATATATTCTTTATTCATATGAATATTTTTTTAATAAACCATACTTAAATCCTCTTGATTTGCTTCTTAATAGGGTCAGCTTATTCAAAACCTATGAAATAAGGGATTATATTGAGAGTTTCGATATAAAATATAGTATAAAATTTTTTTATTCTGTTTTTTTTTTTTTTTTTTATTAATAATTTTTTCTTATGATTCTCTTTCAGGTCTAGGCGTATGGCGTATATCGTCGCATCAATCAGATGTTTACATTCTCACATTCATTCAAAGAATTGAAGATTTCCTTAGAAAAGGTTTAATAAATCACGTCAGCGATGTTAATTTCTCATATATAAGAGTGTCTGATGACGTCAGAGGTAAGTTTGTTGTGTTCGGCTAAATAAGGCCATGTGTGGAGGATTTATTCGTCTTCATTTGACATATTTGAACAAATAAGACACATACACAAATAAGCGAGAACACGTAAAGACAAGTTGGCATGCCAAGTGTGGATGTCGTATTTGCGCTATTTGGACTACGTACAAATATTTGGACAAATGAATCGAATACGCTACGCCAAGTGAAGAGCCACCTTTAGAGAATTTTATTAATCATATAATATCTTGCAGGTATATTTCAACAATCATCAAGTAAAACGGTAGCAAGGAAATTAATTAGTCACGAAGGACATCCAAAAGGTACATATATCCCTACTAATATTATAAATGCGAAAGTAACTCTGTCTGTCTGTCTGTTACGCTTTCACGCCTAAACCACTGAACTGATTGTAATGAAATTTGATACAGACATAGAGTTGACCTTGAGAAAGAACATAGGATAGTTTTTATCCCAGACTTTTGAAAGGTTCTCTTGGAAACGCAATATAACCGAAATCCACGCGGGCGAAGCTGCGGGCTGAAGGCTAGTATATGTATTGTTTGAGATACAGTTTCATATTTGTTTTTCAATGTTCAGCGTTACTTCCAGTAATGTCTTGCAAATAACTGAAGGCAGTATTTATAGCTTTCAAATACAGATTGATGCTTTAATGTTGCTATTACAAAATAATAATAATGGTTCAGTGTTCTAATTGGTCATAAAAATAATTTTATACATTATAGTATGTTATAATTAGTACGGCACAGATGGCGCCACTTGTAACGATATATTTTATTCTTGTATTGACAATGGGCATACCTGAAACTGTAACCTTATTTTTGTGTACTGCTAAATTGTTTATAAAGACACATTGAAACTATTGGTGCTTAGGTAAATAATACAAACTCTAAATCCTAAATACATATTGATTGAATTCGTTTTAAGACACACGTGACGTTTTTTCTTAATGAAAATCATTATTATTTTTATATTAAAGGTGGAATAAACATTCAGTTGGAGAACAGAGAGCCTTCGTCCAAGTTGTCAGGCGAACACGCGGGCAAGTTACTAGTCATGACTTACCCCTGGGACGGAAACGCACACCCGGGGAACGAATTCTGGTAACATATAGGAATTTCCTTTAAGAAATGTACTGCAATGAAATTAAGTATGAAATAAAAAATCTACTTCTATTATGAGATCGAAGACTTTCGCGAGCAGTAATATAAATAAAACTAAAACTTTGAGATTTAATACAAGTTTTTTCTATTATTTTAAACTACACAGTCAAGACGTTTTCATTGCTGAAAGTACAGAAACGTAGGGAGTATGTGGTTAAAAATGCTAAAATACTAGTTTTATTTACTTTCATTAATATTCGAAAAATTTTTATGGTTTTATACAAAGATTGTATGTTTTATTTCCAAAAAATGCTTACATAAATATCACACTTATTACTTTTTTTTGTTTTAAAACGTACTAGTTTTCCGCCCGCAACTTCACCCGCGTGGAGTTCGGTTATATCGCGTTTCCAAGAAAACCTTTCAAAAGTCTGGGATAAAACTATCCTATGTTCTTTCTCAAGGTCAACTCTATGTCTGTACCAAATTTCATTGAAATCAGTTCAGTGGTTAAGGCGTGGAAGCGTAACAGACAGACAAACAGAGTTACTTTTGCATTTATTATATTAGTAGGGATTAATATTCTCTTTTATTGTAGGATAGGAAGTCTCACAGGTTCGGGTGACCCAGCGGCCGCGTGTTCAACTCAAGTGTCTGAACTACACAACGCTCACATCAACACGACGCTCACACGACACACTGTGAGAGTAGCGGCAGAGGGGGGACTACTACCGATCAGGGAATACTGTCTCACTCACACACAACTGTAGCGGGGAAGGAGTGAGCGAGACGGAATATGATATACGAAAGTACATACCATGAACATACATGTTACTATCGGGATTAAGAGAAGGGACTGTCTGTTTCACTCGCACTAAAAAGAATAGAGGGACGTGCAAGCGAGATGGAGAATAATATATGAATATAGATACCATAAATATTTTCTTTTTATTGCATTGAGTGAGAGGGATTATCTGTTTCACTCGCTCTTCACAGAGTTGAGGCAAGTGCGAGCGATGCAGATAATAATGAAAAAATATATATGACGTAATTGCATACTTATAATTTGGCCCTAAAATCCACTTTCCCAAACTTCCCTACATTTCTCCTTGCAATCAATTAAGGAAAAGGCTTCCAAGGTCTTCAAAGAGCTATAGTCCCAACAAAATTTCTATTTTATAGATTAAGACCGTGAACGCTCGAATTCAAAAAACATTACTATATTTGAATTCAAAGCTATACCTACCTATATAATCTTAAAATCTTGGACCTCCTTCAATTTCCACTTCTTCACATAACATATACATCCTCTTTTCAGTCACATTTGTACTTATTGTTATAAGATTAATAAATGTCAAGTCAAACTGTGGCAGATTTAAAGTCTGCAAACTATAGCGTATAAGAAACTTGCTGCTATAAACAGTCTAAGTAAGTAAGTAGTCTAGGAGATTTGCTTCAAAACCAAATCGTCCTACAAACAAATAACAACGACTCGATATAAGACGTTAAGTTCGATATGAATAGCCATGAATTTAATTAATTCTATTACATACAATTGCTTAATTTATAATGTCACCAATATTAGCTTAGTAGAAGCATATACTGTAATTCCTATATAATAACTTCCGGCGTCAAGAAGAGGTCAATTCTCACTGCTATGCTATGCACCTAAAAATTTTTTATGCCTGTAAAATATACTACGATTGACATTTCCATACCACAAAGTCCAACTCAGTTAGATCTTACAATAGTTGAAGTATGACGGGCATAACGTTGTTACTTGTTAGAAATATCAGTTTTGCCATCATTCATCAGACGTTATGCAACGTCGAGTTAAAAATATACAATGCACAGGAACGCTAATGAATGGATTGAGTAAGATTTTCACTAATTATCTCTTGCACTACGTCAATGTTTTCTTTTGTCCGTAGTATCTTTGATCGGCCCGATCATTGTTTATTCAACGTAGACCCAAACTCCTCGAACTTTTTAATACAATTTTTAATCATTAGATTGTATTACTTTCTAAATTCACGCCATGCAATGGTGGCGAATCATTGTTGCGGTAAAACTCATTCATGCCATTCTTATGCGTCATTTGAATTTTGTTCGAAATTTAAATTTTAAAGGACTTAGGAACACCGTGTTTTGGTACATCAAAATCGAGTGGCTTTTGAAAGTATATTGTCCAAAATGTTGCTATTCAAAAAATTTTACCACTCTTCGAAGATAATATTAAATTATTATTATTATTTGTTATTTGTCTTGTGCTAAGCCACATATTAATCAATTCAAATAAATGTTTTGTTTATAAGAAAATACAGTATAAATATAATACTTATTCTATAATAAAAACATATTACATAAAAAATGTTATAATATTATTAACTGCCGCACGTAATAGATACATAGTTTGTAAAATAAAACCTCATGTTTTATTATTCTCAGTCTTTGAAATGTAAGACCTATGTCCCACTATCAATATTATGTAACATTAACTGCGCAGTTGATATTCGAGGTCATAATTATCATTTTATTTACCTTTGATATATACATACATTTCTTTGCACAGATAATAAAAATGATAAGAACTACTTTCGAGAGAAAATTTCACAAAATTATTATATTCATCCCCAAAAAAAATTCTGATAAAGCATTTAAAACTCATCGTCCCTACTAATATTATAAACGCGAAAGTAACTCTGTCTGTCTGTCTGTCTGTTACGCTTTCACACCTAAACCACTGAACTGATTTTAATGAAATTTGGTACAGACATAGAGTTGACCTTGAGAAAGAACAGGATAGTTTTTATTCCAGACATTTGAAAGGTTCTCTTGGAAACGCTATATAACCGAACTCCACTCGTTCGAAGCTGCGGGCGGAAAGCTAGTGATATATATTTCCTAAAAATAAGAAGAGTAAAGTATTGTCTATCACTACTAACAATAATTTCTTAATAATTAGGGCAGACGGGTCCCATGCTTATAGGGCCCACATTCTCAAATCAGTAATCTTATTAGAAAGTACTAAATATCTAAATTTATAAATTAAATTCTTTTCACAAGGCATAAACTAAACCATTATATTGGTGGCTGCTCCTATTCATGTTTGTATCTATTTAGCTATCAATCTCGCAATCACTTCTATCCATAATCACGTTGCACGTCTATAGTCTATACTGTATACAAACCTTTAAATAAATGTCCACATTGTCTATGGTTGGGGGAATCCCCGAATAATATATGAAACTATCAATTTAATAGAAGGGCGTGGCGTTATTTTATTTCATTTAATACTTGGAATTGAGCAAGATAAACAGAAGTTGATTTCTTCCTTTAAACATTATTTTATTATGTTGAAAAGAAAATATTTAAGTCCATGATATTTAACTTCCAAAAGGGTTAGTGTTTATCCAAAATATAAAAAGGAATTTCTTTGATACTTCTAAAACTTTACCAGAGTTAACGAGAAACGAAAACTAAATAAGTACTTGACTACAATTATTTTTTTCAAATCGACGAATGGTGATCCTTTAGAAAGAAAACTACTTAATTACTTCTCTATTCATCGCAAATAAATCTGTAGGGTATATCCTAGTATTGTTGCTCTATCTATTTAATACCACTACTGGTGCTGAACATAATTTAATTTCTTTTAATAGGTATACACATACACATTGGAAATATAGTAAGTCTTAACTTATTAATAGAGCATCAAACAGTTTACATCATTAGAAATTTATGGTGAATTATGTACCAAAAACAAAAATTATTGGACGAATTGATCCTTAGTTGCTGTGATTTTTTTTGCTTCAAGAAGTCATGGTTTTCATGATAGTAATGAGACATTAGGACCGCAAACTAATTTAGTTTTCTTTTATAGTTTATTAACTTCAAATCATTAGAATTGACTAAAAATCAAAGAATTTTATCATGAACACTTTAATACCAATGAGCTCAAAACAAAATGTTTTCCTTTAAACGAACATTTAAAAACCTAGCAAAACAATTAACTGTTTAAAAGGTCTCAATCTTTCACAATCTAATATCAGATCAATTTGAAGAAACTTTTGCAAACGTAGACATTATTGTAAGAATATTTCTTTGACTAATCCTCAAACAATTGTGATCATTTTCGCAGCTAAAGGGAATAAAACATGAATTGCAACAACAATATTACAAGAACGACTCAGTTCTTTGTGCATAGAAAGTTTTGTCCTTCAAAAAGAAAATTAATTTAATAGAAGAATTTACTCAAGAGATATCTCGAAAGAAACCGCTATCGTAATAGTCATTAATTTTCACCTTCCAACGGTAGAATGTCAGTCAATCACTATCAAGACGAAATAAAAAAAATAGTAAGCAAGAAACCAGACCAATAGCTCTAAATATATCTTTAATTACATATATCTGCACATTGTAATTGATAATAATCTATAATTATATAATAAAAGATTTTTTATTTTCCAAAAGTAAGAAAATTCTTGTGGTCCTTAAGGCCCCCAACAAAGTGTAAGACCGCGATAACTACTGATAAGATATAGCTATTGTAAAAAAATAAATGTCGCTAATGGATTGGCGCCAATTCGCAACATAGCTCATAAGAATTTCAAGGTCAAGTTAGAGATTGAATAATATTTGTCAAGACTCAAAGCGACACTTGAAACAAACAACGAGAGAAATTATTTGTTGCTTAAAATTATAATAACAAAAACAATGAGTAATAACATCGTAGTTAAATCACGTGAGTTTATAAGTACTTATTCAGTTATTAATACGATAAATTAATAGACACGTTACTCATATCTATTATGTTAATCTTTAAATGTTTTTTTTATTTATCATATGTTTTCAATATAAAAAAATTATATAAAAATTGTACCAAGACCGTAAAGTCGATATAATACCAATTGTCTTTTATCAAATAAGATATATACATATATACGTATATTTTTATGCGTTATGTTAATTTTATGTTGTTTGTGCAATAGAACAAAAAAAAATAATAAAATTAATTATTCATACATATCATTAGAGTGAGGAACGTCGATGGTTTTTATTATCTATAGAAAAATTTTATGTCAAGGTAAGTCATGTCTTGAGATGTAATATAGGTACTATAAGTTACCATAGAATTGAACGTATTATAAATTGAATATAGAAACTAGGAATGACTAATATTCTTATTGTTACAAATGTACAAATGTCATATTTCTTCATTACGCGCTTATAGCATTAATTTCATAATCTAGAATCAGATGTTCATAACACAAGATATGTACAAACTTAGGTATGTAAAAAATATATATAATAAAATTTATTAAATAATTTACGATTATATAATAATACTTCCGCATAATGATAAACATCTGATAACACCGATAATATGTTTGTTCAAAATGAAATTGTATTGCATGTAGTTTAGATAATAATCAATAAACTACGTCAGAGTTATAATAAAGGAATGTTATTTAAATTTTCATTTGGCTTCACCCACACTAAACTATTATTATTATTCATTGAAAAACAACGTCGTATATTTAAACATTAGTTATTTATATTTATAGACATATTAATTTCGATAATGACGTTTAATAAAATTTTGTTCGACATACTAAACGGTCTACCTATTACCTTTTTCTCGATCCATAATCAACAATTACTTAGCATAATTATACATTCGTATGAAACTTAAACATTTATATTACTGTCTATAATAATAGCTTTATTTTTAAACAGCTATTTGAGTTGACTAAACGAAAGTTAAACAAATTTCTAATGTTGATTACTCTAGAATCTAGATACATAATGTAGGTCATTCTATTAAATGATGAATAAGTATTATAACATATATGAAAAAATATGTTAATAAACCATTAAACATCGTATATTAAATAAAAAATATTATTTATTATAATGCCCGTGACTAATTACTGTTGGAACCGTTACAAGTGGGATCATACGATGTTTGTTTACGATTCAAGCATTTTCATTGATTGCGACAGGAGGTGTGGCGAACGTAGGCTTGTTTTGCGATACGAAAACATGTTTTTGCATTAGTATAAAACTAGTTTCATTCGTGTCCTTGTCTTAGTACAAAATCAACTCTTGCATTGAAAACAAGTAACGAAGCTAACAAAATATAATATTGAGGAAGTTGTAAAATTAAATCGATAAATCGAGGTCTAAAGTGAACGGACTACGCAGATGCTTCTTGTTTATTTTGATACTATTAAGTTGGTAGAACTGATCGCGCGATTTTACGTCACTGCGCTCGGCTGTCATTGATCTAAAAATAATATTAGTGTTTTAATATATTTGCCAATGGATTATGCGAATCTTCGCTGTTTTGTGATATGTGTTATTAAATACGGACTCTTCTAGTGTGATTCGTGAATCTAGAGTTTTCTTGAAACAGTTTCCGTCTCAAACGAGTTTTCTACGTGATTTGAGTTTCATATCTAACAAGTTAAACGTGATTTAAAAACCAATTAAATAGTATTACATATTAATTATTCTTTAAGTAAAAATGTCGTCGTTAGGCGGTCAGTGGCGTGTTATTCGACACTATCTGTCTATGAGTAATTTGAATGCTGAAGTAGAAAAACTTGTACAAAGAATAAAGCCAGCAACACCCGAACAATGGGAAAGTAAGTATATACACTTACTATTATATATTTTTTTAGAAAATTCACTAACACTACAGAATTTTTTAATATTTACCTAGACACAGCATTTTAAAATTATAATTAAGTACTTCATATACATTTGAGTAGTCAACTATAAACATTTACGTATAACTACAGATTTAATAAAGAAATTTGAACGGGCGGTTACATCGAAGTTGAGCTACGACGTAAAAAACGAGCCTAAGTTTTTGGAAAACAAAGTTTATACAACAACTGTACAAGAAGCAGACACTAAGGTAGCCGTCAAGGAAAAGGTTGTAAAAGATGAAAAGACTAATCAGGACGGCTTAACGATAGGTTCGGATGCAAAGGAAATCACCTTCAAAGGTTTCTGGGAAGGTTTGAAGTTGAAAAAGGATTTGCACTTCGGCAACATATCGGAATCTAACTGGAAAACTAACAAACCAATTGTCTCCAAGGTTTGTAATAATAATATTCAACAAATTATCATGTTTTTTTGTTCTTACTTATCTTTTATATAGTGATATTAAGAGGTCATTTGAATATATAATCATGAAAAAGTCAAAATGTGTATCAGAAATATAGATATCGACATATTTATGTCAATATAAGATTTGTAGAGTACAGCGGACACATTATTTATGCATGATAGACCACAATAATTTTATCACTAAGATAATGTCAATAAATGAAAATAGGAGAAATGTTATCTGTCGAATAAAAAACCAAGGAGATTTTATATCTATATGATTTATTATCTAATTTAAAATCAATTTATATATAGTTCTTAATGAACATATTATTATAGCAGACCCTGGGAAATTGCCAGGTAGAAGGAAAATAATGAACATAATTATTATCTCATCAAAATGTTAATTTTATTGAATTAATTTTAAATATCTTAATCTGAATGTCAATACTTAATTACATTAATATTGAATTTCTGTTCTTCCACATATAAAGTACCGAAATAATAAATTTTAATTGTTTAGATTTTTTTTGAATAATATATAATAATAATACAATTATTTGTTTACAGACATCAATACATTCCCGAACCGCTTATGTTATATCGGCAATAGTGATGGCCGAGACTCCGGAATGTTTGCTTAAAAGAAGCGAACACTTCATAGAACACCTACAACAGTATCCCGAAGCTAGAGATTATGCTATAAAGGTAAATATTAATATTATTATGAAATTCGTCTAATATATAAAATTTCCTTGTCACAATTAGTTAGGTAGTTGCCATATGTACTCGTCTGAAACAGCTTTACAGATTTTTACCAAATTTTATGTGATTATTCAGTAGGTTTGAGAATCGGCTACTATCTATTTTTCATATTTCTATGGCATAAGGTTTGTTCAATGTTCACACCAAACATTTTTATTTTTATTGTTGGATGAATATTTTTGTTTTTATTTTTTTAATACACACCTAATTTTTTATATGGCATAACAATATTGCCAGGTCAGCTGGTATAGATATATGTATATAATAATGTCAGTTCATCTCAGTAAATGCTCCATCTATTTTGATGCAACTTTCATTGATATCCACTTTATGTATTAAGATGTACCTAAGATAACATTTATACCTGAATCTTTGTTTATTTTTATTAACATACAAATATCTAGTATGTTTGACTGAAGTTAGATTCAGAGTTAGTTCATAATAAAATTAGATTAAGAATTAAGATTAAAAAGATTATTGCTATACTACTTATGAGATACCTATATCTATTTATACTATTTACCTTAATTGATAATACTTATTTATTTAATAATATTAATTTAATATAGGAAGGTGCCGTCAGAGCATTTCTTAGAGTACAGCATAAATTAAAGAAAAATATTGATGTTCCGATAAACAAAGAAGTCAATGGAATTGTAAATGAGGTAATACAATGAAAATATTTAATTTATTTTTATCTTGTATGTATCTGGTTTTGTCAAGATATAATCTGTCTTATTGTGTAGTAAATAAGGTATATATTCAAATAGAATGAATAAAAAACCTCTAAATGGTATTGAAGTTACAATTTCTAGAATATCACAAAGTTTTTATAACAACTACTGATTTAAATATTAAGTTAAAAACTGTTTTATGTAAAAATAATATTATTAGCATAATCTTGAAACCATATTTATGTTGTAAAGTAATTCTACAGATGGTAAATAATCTTTACTACATATAATAATTTAATATTAATTTATTTCATTTCTTTTTGTAGGCCCTCGCCCTATTAGGTCATACGGGTCCTTTAAAGAGTCGCGGTCCCAATATTCTGTCAATAGATGGCGGTGGCATCAGGGGAATTATCGCCATAGAAATATTGAGACACCTAGAACGACTTACCGGCAAAAGAGTGCAAGATTTATTTGATTACATAATAGGTGTTAGTACTGGTGCTATAATTGCTGCTGTAATTGGTGAGTTATTTTAAATATTATATATATCTATACAGGGTGACTGGTGAATTACTATCGATACTTGAGGACGTGATATTTGACGATCATATTTGACAAAATAAAAATTAATATAACATAAATATTAATAAACTTCTAAGTAAAGTTAACCAAAAGTTATGTAATTAATTACGCATCGTGTGAACACCCTACAGATTAGGTATACACACACACACGCGTGCCGCGGTGTGGTGCTGTATCAGCACGCCGCCGCACGCGTCCACACTTGAACCACTTGGAACGTGTCCACACTTTATTTATTTATACGGAAATTTGGTCAAAAATTAAGTACCTACCTATTTTTTTTTACATAATTCGAATGAGAATCATGTACCGAGTATTCTCCTTAAATGTTGATAGTAATTCACCAGTCACCCTGTATATATATTTTAATCTATATAATACCGATATTTCGATTACTTTGCAGAAAATTCGAATTTTTAGGATATTGTCATCAAAATAATAAACAAAATAAGTTTCCTCTAAATGAAAATTCTCAAGTCTTAGGTCTCAATATTAAAATTCTTAAAATATATGAAAACAGATAATAATAAAAACAATTGAATAATTTCTAGAATTAAACATTTTTTTGTTAGTCTAGTAGATGTTTACAGATTTCCTTTAAATATTTTTACGCGACTTTAATATTAATTATTATTGTTACAGCGAGTGGTATTGGCAACCTAGACACAGCTAATCACATGTACCATACATTATCCAAACAAATGTTTGGCAACACTTCACTCATCGGAGGTAATTATTATAAATACAAATAGTTTTGTACTATTGTACATGTATATACACATATTTTTGTACGAATCCCTACTAATACTATAAATGCGAAAGTAACTCTGTCTGTCTGTTATGCTTTCACGCCTAAACCACTGAACTGATTTTAATGAAATTTGGTACAGACATAGAGTTGACCTTGAGAAAGAACATAGGATAGTTTTTATCCCAGACTTTTGAAAGGTTCTCTTGGAAACGTGAAATAACTGACCTCTACGCGGGCGAAGCTGCGGCCGGAAAGCTAGTTTTAACTATATAATTAACTTGTAAATTAAAAGCATTTTTCATAATGAAACTTTAGTTTTGTTGTAAAAGAATACTTTTTTAAATTTCTAATGATCTAAATGACTGGTAAAAATATATTAAACTGGTAGTAGTAATTGATGATAGTCATGTTAATTAGGTAATTAATTTCAATTTGATTTATTGATTGGTTTTTGACTCGTATCATTCAAAAATATGTTAATATAAGAAAATTATTCGAAAAAATATTAGAAAAATTTTAAGAGAAGAAACAATTTAAGGTAAAATACATTTTCGGATCAAATTTATTTAGACAACGGTAAAAATACAAATCTTATATAATGTAAAACCCATTGGATGGTTTTTATCATTTTATTATGATGCATGAGAAAATTTACATAGTTATAGGGATATTCATTGGTATTTTATACAAAAACTGCTTTACGGATTTTAATAAAACTTAACAGATATGTAGCTTAATCATCAGAATATTAGGCTAAAATTCCCTATAGTTAGTGCAAAATAAGGCATAACAGTTATATTGTGTAAAAAGTAACGTGATTTAGACGATATCTATCGGTTACCATATATATTGTTTTAACATACTTTATATATAAGTTAAAGCATGTGAAGCCGCAGGCATAAACTAGTTTATATAATGTTATAGGTACCTCAAGATTAGTTTGGACCCATTCATATTATGATACAGATGCCTGGGAAAAGTTATTACAAGACAATCTAAGGGATTGTACGCTGACTGAATGTAATAGACATGATACGCCGAAGGTATGTTTAATAATTAATTTGAATAATATGTTAATAAGTAATTTTAATTTTATTAAGAATTTTGTAAAATTTTTATCTTGGTTCACATATATTGATCATAAATGTCGTTGATATCAATTAACTTTAAACTTGACAAATTTATATTCATATAATCTATTTCAGTCGATTCTTATTTTATTATTTTTGATTTACACACATGTTTGTTATAATAGATAACATTTTAATCATAATTCTTGATACCTATATATCACTTACACCTTGTTTACATAATTTTTATCAATCAATTTAAGCTAATGCTTATAACATATCGTCGGGGATAGTGCAATTCGGGTAACTAGCATTAAATAATTCAACGTATCTACATTGGAAGCAGATTATCAGAAGAAAGTTTGTGCTGACATATTTTCTAAATTAACGACTTTTAAGGTTTTTTCGCAATTAGTAGTTAATTTAGTACTAATTGTGAAAAAAATTTGGATTTGCACTATCCCCGACGTTATTTCTTTATATAGTATTAATATTAAACCTCTCTTCTCACCACTAGATGGCGTTAGTATCGTGTGTAGTAAACTCCGGGTCCCGCCTAGCTCCGTACCTTTTCCGTACGTACGAATGCGGTTTCCGTGTACGTTCCGTATTCGCTGGTAGCTCGAAAGCTCAATTATGGCATGCCGTAAGAGCATCGGCGGCAGCGCCTACATATTTTACGGAATTCAGACTACAAGGACTATTGCATCAGGTTAATTTAGTATTTTGAGTTAAAATTGTGGCAGATGGTTGCGTTAAACTTTTAACGCTATATAAAAAGAGGCTGAAATAGAATGAATGGCGTTAGAATGCAAGTTGTGTCTTAGAAGTATTGTTATAAAGTTTGTTTTAAAGAAACACAAAAAAGTTCTACCCATTGCTGTTATCAAAGATAGATTTAAGTGTTGCAAGAATTTGTTGCTAATCTCTGAAAATTATAAGGGGAGTTGAGATAGGAAAACTATTCTAATTATTTTTTTTTTCACAACAAAGAGGCCAAGACACAAAAAAGTTTGAATTATACTTTATCAAAAAAAAAAAAATTACATTTTATATATTACTAGTTTTTGCCCGCGACTTCGTCCGCGTTAATTTCGTCATTAGTAATATAGGTATAGCTGACCGGGCAAACTCTATTCCGCCTTCAATAACCCGGTATAAGTATTTATTAAATTTCTACTATTTCAATCGAACAGAATGATTGACATATTAGTTAGTTGTCAAGTCTAATGTCAAAAAATCGCTTGTATGGGAAATAGAAAAGGGCTGTTTTTAGGTTTTTTCCGGCAGTTATTCCAATTTTTCTCACCTTTTAAACCTTCCCTGGACTTCCAGGAGTATTTCAAGACTAAAATTAGCCAAATCGGTTCAGCCGTTCTCGAGTTTTAGCGAGACTAAGGAACAGCAATCCATTTTTATATAAATAGAAGATTATGTAGATTCTTCTTCTACCTGGCAATTTTCCCAGCTATAGCCAGGGTCTGCCTTTCATGTTGTGAATAGTTTTTGGCTATTTGTTTTTACGACCGGCCCGCCTGCCTGACATCAACCCTATTTAGGGAATCAACATTAATCACTGATGTCTAAATACTCTTAGAAAGTACATATGATTCGGAAAATCACATTGCTACTTGCTCGGGCCAGGATCGAACCCGCGCTCTCGGCGACGAGAGGCGAGCCCCTTAACCACTGAGCCACCACTGACTATTATTATGTAGATTGTTAAATAATAATATATGTTATCTAGAAAAAATTATAACTTAATAAAAATTTATTACCACAGGATGGTGGCATTATGGTGAATAATCCAACCGGCGTTGGTCTTCACGAAGCGAAACTATTATTCGGTGCGGACACCATCAAAAACGGTACAGTCATATCTGTAGGCACCGGTCAAGCTCTGAACAAACACTTGGACTACCAACTGTTAAGTAAAGGACTTGGCAAAGAAACTTCTGGAACAAGTTGGAAGGATAAATTCAATAAAATATTAGATTCAGCTACGGACACAGAAGGTATTATATATAATTTGTATCTAAAACATGTTCTACATAGTTAAAATTAATTTGATAGTAAGAATTGATCATGCAAAGTTCATTTCAAGATATATATGAGTATTTTGTTACTTAACATAATTTGTATCTAAACTATATTCTACCCATTAAAAATGTTAAAATCTTTTTGATAATAAGAATTTCTTATACAAATTTCATTTGAAGATATATGTATACAAGTATTTTGTTAGCAAAATATATTTTGTTATAGTATTCAATAAAACTATATTAAATTCGTCATGTATATATTGTGCTAAGTAGCAAACTGAATCACTATCAACTTATATAATAAATTAATCTACCTATTACACTTGACATCATATTATTTATCAATACAAAACAAGCATAACTAATACATATAATAAAATTAATTAATCATTTATTTCAACAGGAGTGCATTTAGTAATGAATGATTTATTACCACCCGGTAATTATTATCGTTTCAATCCACCATTAATGGAAGAGTGCGCCATGGATGAAATAAATCCTGAGAAATTACAAAACATGATAACAGATACAATGGCTTATATACGTCGGAATCAACACAAGTTTGAGCAAGCAGCTGCCATGTTGGTTAGAAAAAGGACAGCTACACAGAAAATAATGGATTATTTGACACATAGAAGCCAATTGATGGGTATATCACATGTCAATTGACGGTTGAGATATCAGGATGATGAATCCTGAGATAAATCTTGAGATATATCCCGAGATATATTCCGAGGATAAATCCTGAGATAAATCCCGAGATATATCCGGTTCATGTATCCTGATTGATTTTAAAGTGAATGAACTTAACACATGTATGTTCTCAAACGATAAAGTTTATAGTTAATCATATATATAAAGTATTGAGAGAAGATTTATTCATAAAAAAACTGTGAACTATATTTACTTAAATATGTGGTAAATTACAAGTGAAGTGAATTAATATTGACAATCATGTGGTGAAAACATTTATGAAGATTGTGCTTTGTGATTTATTAATTTTGGAAAGTCGATATAGGTCGGTGTTGAATAAAGTGAAGAAAAGTTCACCAAATATATAATATGTTAATAAAAATACACATACATATATGTAAATTGAGATTTATTAAACTTAATTAGCTTGAAAATATATTAAGCTTATATGGCAGCAATTTTCTTATTATATGAATAGCTTACTCAAAGATTACTATTTAAATCAAATAAAAAACTCTTAATAAAATTTTAGATTGTAGCATGCTTTAATATATGAAAATTAGCAATAATATTTCTAAGAAAATTTAAAATTTAAGAAATTATAAAATTATGTATAACATAGTTTATTTAGTACATCAGTAAAAATATATTTTTACTCTTGTGCTAAAAGTTATTGCATTATATAAAATTTTATTCAGCCTTAATGTGATAAAAAAATATATAGATCTAGAAATTATTTCGAATAATATGTTAAGTATTTAAGTATAAGCTATTAAATAGCTTTTAAATTTTTACTCTTTATATATATAATCTTTTGTATTGTAATCACAGTTTATTCAGTTAGCAAATAGTTGTTTTGTTATGTATAGTTTATTACGGCATTTTCTAAGACTTAAGACAACTATACTGCTATTGTTGTGTTAGTACAATGATATCTAGTCATTGTTTTTTTAATAAAGCATCTTACTATAAAACCTCTTTTCTTTAACCTTTTTTAGAAAAAAATTGAGATTAAGTACAATTTATCCCTTAAAAGAGTTGTGGCACAAGCAATAATAATTTTGTAACTTTTTGAATAAGATATAAAAAATTATTTTTAAACATATTTTAAGAAGATGGATTAATTCATTTTAAGCGTTTTTTTTTTTATATATTCAAGGCTTCATAGGAAGATTGTTTTCTGAGGCAAGTTATTTAGAAATAATAAAATAAATTGTATGCGTCATATGACAAAATTAAAAAAAATTACTTTACCAGATGGAAAGCCTTTGGTATCTCATTTATGAGATAGTTAAACTGTGTAATATTTTTATAAGACTTTTATTTAACGTAATTATAGGTTCGAGAATGAAAAAATATTCTGTCGAATGAGATGGCGCTGAAAATAAATAATGAAAACGAACACAACTTTTTCAATGTATCAAACCTAAATGGATAGAAGCGTAAGAAATTATATAATTAAATATAAATGAAAATTTAAATTAAACTATATACAACACACTATGCTTAATGATGGATTATAAAATAAATTATGAATGAAAATAAATATCTCTATAACACATTTCAAATGTCGATTGAAACCTTTACTTGAAATGCGAATTGAGACCTGTGTATATCTAGGAAAATGTTGAAAATTTTATTAAAGCTGAAGTTTTTATTTCTTATGAGTATTATTAAGAATTAAAATTAAATTTTCATTGTAAATACAACGTGATTTCTTTACAATAATTATTATTAACATATATCAAATCAGGATATAATATAATTTAAATACACTACATACTATTTTCTCCAATATCGTCTCCTGAGGCCGTTTTATTCTAGAAGTCATGATGTAACGCCACGATATTGACTTTCACTTTTAAGTCGAAGATCGTAATGGCTACCTGCTTTATATAAATTACAGTATTAATACGTATAAAATTAAATATAATTTTTTATATTTTAATACTCCCTGACGTAATGTTTTTTTCTAAAAGCTAACTTACTATAATGTTTGTAAATTCATTGTAGTACAATAGAAACTTCTATTATTTCCTAATTGTTTCACAAATTTAAAACTTTATCTTATTTTAACTTTAAGGTGGAAATTCCTGAGCTTTTTACTATATTATACTTAATGGTCCAAGGTCGAAAAAAATAAAAAGTCCGTAACGTAAGTAGGTTATTAGGAGTCATTAGCATTCAAAGCATACTTTCTAGAGGTATCCAACCAGTTTTGTAACAACTACATACAGTGACGCACGTATACTGAATACTTTGTGCCTTCGCCTGTGTTAAAAAAAAAACTTGTGTTTAGAATTGGCGGGATATTTTTTATTGTTTTAAAAATGGCGTTATGGAGATTATCCTTAATAATGGTAAGTGGATATAAAAACTTTTTATAATTTAGCTAATAAAGGAAGCTACGCCCTCGTTCTACATAGTAAGGAATTAAATTTACTTTCCATTCATATATGAATCTATCCAGATTAATAACAACTTTGAAACGGATCTGTTAGTGTGTTGTAAAATACCGTTACATCTATTTATGTTAGACTAGCTGTTGCCAACGACTTTGCCCGTTAAATAAACCATTATTTTTCTAGAAAGTCCCTTGATCACATCCTAACTTAATGACAATAGAAAAATCTCCTAATAATGCCTTTCCCATTTATATTTTTATTAACCAAAATAATTTTGAGAGTTAGCCTAAAATATATGAACACGCAATAGTTTAAAAAACTTGTAGTCGTATTTAAAACTATAATAGAGTATTTTCGCTTATGGGAAGTCTGTTAAAAATTATATAAACTATTTCCTATAACACTATGTCGAATACTAGCAAAATTGGTCAAGCCACTCCAAAGATTAGCCAGAGTAAACGGACAGATTTTTTTCAAAACAACAATAATTATATATATACCTACTTTCTAGATATATGTATACTAACATATATTTATTGAAAAGCGGTTAATGTAAAATCACAAACACGCACACACATTTTTTGTTCTATAGATAACAGTATACGAAAAACTCCAAGACATTTCTCATATGTAATTGTTCTTATGTAATTGGAACAAAATAAATATTTGAATTACTTTTTATATTAAAAGAGTGTGTTGCTATTAGTTTGCCTTAATACATATATATATACTGGTGACTGGTGAATTACTATCGATATTTGAGGACGTGATATTTGACGATCATATATGACAAAATAAAAATTAATATAACATAAATATTAATAAACTTCTAAGTAAAGTTAACCAAAAGTTATGTAATTAATTACGCATCGTATGAACACCCTACAGATTAGGTATACACACACACACACACAGACGCGGCGGCGGCGTAGTGTTGTATCAGCACGCCGCCGCACGCGTCCACTCTTGGAACACTTGGAACGTGTACACACTTTATTTATTTATACGGAAATTTTGTCAAAAATTAAGTATCTATTTTTTTTACATAATTCGAATGAGAATCATGTACCGAGTATGCTCCTTAAATATTGATAGTAATTCACCAGTCACCCTGTATATATGTATATATATATAATTTTATTCTACTGTACTTGTGTATATAACTGAACAGTGAACACCTAAATGACTGAACGGATTTGTTTGAATTATTTTGTATCCTTTTGTTTTTAGCATCAGATAGTTTATTGGCCTGAAATATAAAATATATCCACTTTAACTCAATTTTATTAAGGAGTTTTGTTATTTCAGTATAACCTCTTTTGCTTATTCCGAATAAATTTTGCTGGTTCTAAACAATGATAGTTTATTATATTATTATATTACTCATTAAAATTATGATTTTCATATTACGTTATTGATAGTGACCTTAGTTTTTGTAAAATTACTATCCATCAACAGATGGCTCTGTTTTATTCAGTACAGCATTTTACCACAAGATGGCTCTAAAAAATTAATTGTTTAAGTAAAACTATTATTTCCCAATTGAATAAGATTTGGCTGAAGAATTTAAAATAGCCATAATAATATTTTATTACTTGGAATATGTATGTTTTTTGAAAAGAAATATAATATAAAATGGACGACAGTACCTGTATTGACAATATTCAGTTAATATAAATAATGTTTTTTAATTTCTTTTGAATACACTATTGTAAAATAAAATATCATTATTTTGATTTTGAGACTTAAGAGAATAATGTTTCGAGCATAGTAATAATAATTTTAGCTTTTATTTAAATCATATTCAGACATTACACTTAAAATAAATCTATTTCACAGGTTGTAATGATGGTATCATTACTCATAACTACTGATTCCTCAGTTCCTCAGCCGAGAGCTCCTAACTTCCAATATTTTGAAAGGTAAATAAATTATATTAATAAAAAATAATGCGTGGAGTCAATCCATTTAGAAGTAGGGAAACTTCGTAATGTAGACATAAAAATATATAGGGAAATAAATCAATTTTTAATGAACTAATATTGTATTTTTAACATTACTTATAATTCACTATTAACTCACCCTAACTCTCGTTCCGTCTCTTTCTATTCTACCTTCCCGGAAGCGTTGAAAGTTTAACGCAACCTTGTTGAAAGTGACATTAGAAATTTCGCTTCAACAATCTCATTTACAAAAATCCCTACTTAATATTATAAAAGCGAAAGTACCTCTGTCTGTCTGTTACGCTTTCACGTCTAAACCACTGAACTGATTTTAGTAAAATTTGGTACAGAGATAGAGTTGACCTTGAGAAAGAACATATGATAGTTTTTATGCCAGACTTTTGAAAGGTTCTCTTGGAAACGCGATATAACCGAACTCCACGCGGGCGAAGCTGCGAGCTGAAAGCTAGTTATCTATATGTCTAAATACTTTACATATCTAATTTTACGTAAGTGACATTTAATATTTTAGCTCTAAATCTTTTTATTACAGGCCAAAATACCGGTATCCATACTACGATGAAAATGGAAAAGGAAAGTTATTATACGGTTACGGTGGACCAGAACTATTTCAATATAAATCATATTCACCCTTAGAAGGAATTCACTAAGATATATATATTATATAATTCTATATTTCTTTGTATATGGAAATATTATGGTTTTTGAACGTATTTTTCAACGTTGAAGTACGGTGATATGTGATTTTATTATTGTTTACAATTGCTTTTGACAGATTGTAAATACTTCAAACTATTTTTGAGATGGGTTCGTTTTTTTTTGTTATCTACAAACATTATATGAACATAATATCTTTATATATATGTAAATATATATTGTAAATAATTATTTTCGAGTTTCATTAATAATTTCACCTTTCTGCCAAAACAGTTTTTAGAATTGTGTGCAAATTGTTTGACAGATTAGACGATTTTCTGATTAGAAAAGATATAGAAACTTTGGTTTAACAATGAAATAGTGACATTCATGAGTGTGAAATTTGGAAACATAGCCTAATTTAGACTTGAAATACTCATGAACAGCTATAGAGGATAAATAACAGAAATAAGCAATTATTAAAAGTTATAAGATATATTAGAAGTCAGTTACAGTAATGTAATATTAGAAAGGATTCGCAATTTAATTAAATCTGTAAAATTTACGTCCTAATTTACGAGTCCGAAATACGAAATAAAAAGGTTACATTGTCTGATTTTTAGTTTAACTTCACGTTTAGTTTACTATTTTATGGAAATCGTATTTGATAAATTGATGTTACTCGAACTTTTAAGATATTAACAAAAAGTCTTTGTATTTCGTTTACAAGAAGAGTAAATATATATTTATTTTATGTTGATGAACAAAAACCATCATGTCATTTAGTCGAGGCCGGCTACCAAGAATAAATATTTAAGTTTTATACAACTAGTTTTATGATGGATGCGTTAAGGGGCATTTAAGATCGAATAACTCATAATCGATTTCATTTAAGGAGACGAATGATTTTAACGTTTCTTAAAATATTTTTATATAAAACCTTCATAGTAAATTTTTATGAACATTTTTAAAATTAACGATTAATTATTCATAATTAATCATTAATATTGGAAATACAGGAAGTAAAGTTTCTTATTAAGTTGATCTGTTTAACTAGACCTTAAGACAAAGGCTACTTTACGACAATCCTTGAAAACTGTTAACACTTTAAACAAAATTATTTGTATGCTACGGCATAATAATTTAAGTTTACTTCTCATACGAACGTTTGTATTTCCTGACGTACATTTAGCATACAAATTTTTGGATTAATAGAAACTTTTTGGTAAAAATGTTTTTAAAATTGGTGATTATATTGGCAGTACTGATGTGTTGTGATTGCGTACTTTATTCTAGTTTTTGGGCGCCCCTGTTTAATCCTAAGATTCTTGGATACAGAGTAGATATACCTTTTAATCCTGACGCGGGAAATAATAATAGGGACGATTATAAAAACAATTATGGATATAAAGGTGAAAAGTTAATAGCTGATTTAGGAAATGGCAATGGTCCGCCTCAAACGAATACGGTGAGTATTAAAAAAGATCTGAATAAGTTACAAATATCCAATAATATATATTTTATTGTTGTTTTTTAGAATGGTGAAGAAGTAAGCTTTTATTATACATATGGTGGAGTTTATAAGCAAGATAACATAAATAAAAATGAATATAATAAAAAAGTTTAAAACGACTTATTTTGTTTAATTTTTTTTGCATATCTTTTAATTTTATCTAAGGTTGGCTGTTATGGAATTTTAAAACTTGTCAATACCTGATAAATTTCTTAAAAAATAAGTTTATAATTTAATCAACATACATATGTATATTTGTAATTGGTAGATAACAAATTAATTTGTAAGAGTTGCAAAATTATAACTACAAAATGTTCAAAATAAAAAAGTCAACTGTAATCAAAAGAACTTCTAGTATATTTGAGTGCACAATATCTTCTACATGAGTTTTAGCCAAACCACTTCTAAACATACTACATACTTATTATCCACTTAAGACTAAAACTCAAAATTTACTATGCCTTTAATAATATTTTTATTTTCAATTGACACAATCTTAACATATTCTAATTAATCTCATATGATTTATTATGCAATACTTTTACTGTATATAAAAGCAAATAATAAGATAATTTAAATCATTTCCACTCAGTTGAAACTAAAATGATACACTATTTTTATATAAAAAGTATGGAACATCCACCAATTTTTATTACAGTTTTGTAAAAAGTTCTAATATACATATATTTAAGTGACTCTAACAATGATGGGCAAAGATCCTCAATAGAAGGGATTGAAAAGACTTAAAATCCATACCAATTCATACATTTTCAAATTTGTAGCTATACTTAGGTCTTAAACATTTCAGACACATCTCTATAGGTTATAAATATAAAAACAATAAAGACTTTTTAAATGATTTATTAAGAAATATTTAGTCTTTTAAATCACAGCACGACATCCCATAGATAGTGTTATATCCTGCGTTTCTGTGTACTTATATATAAAACATTATTTCCTCTTATAAATGCATCTCCATATTTATTTTTGAGTTGACCATTTACATATTCTTCGGTTTGCTCTAAAGCTATGTTCATGTAGCCGTCCAAACAGGCAAGAACTCCTGAAATAATAAATATTTACAATACATATATGATTCATTACTTAAATTTTCTTTATTAGAATGTAACTAACATTTTTTGTCTGGTCACAGTTGGTAAAATTAACTGAGATGTCAGTAGTATGTAGATTTTTACAAAAATAATGTTGTGTACTATATTCAAAAATATTAGTTTCATTTAAATGAATAAAACATTCATTCTTAATTAGAGTAAATGAATGCCAAAAAAAAAATGTAGATGTGTTTTAATATTATATCCTTTAAAGTAAATTGTTCTTTAAGCATGTCTAATGTACATCAATATTAAGTTTGTCCTTTTAACTTTGTTTTGCACAAAGAGTGTCCTTGCATTTAATAGTTAAGATAATTGGCAGTCTAAGTTAATGGTTTACAAATAAATCATTCAATTTTATAGTGAATGAGATTTGGTACTTTGTTTCATGATAACTGAATATTATAAAAACTGCGGGTTACATGGGGAATACAGAAGATATAGATTAATTATAAAACAATTTATAAGTTCAGAACTTGTGAAGGTTTTGCTCTTAAATAGTTCTTCTTTTAACTATAGTTTTAATTAAATATATTTTAAAGAATAATGGTAGATATATATTTACAATCTTTATTAAATAAAAGAATTCTTGTCAAAAAATTACGAAATATTTTTGTTCACACATAACCTATAAAATGCATATTTTTTACATTGATTGCGGAAACAAGTTATAAAAAGACTGAGAAATTCATTATCTTTAATAAAAAACATGAAAACACATTCATATACAATAAAATATTACCTCGATAATCCACACCGCTGTTTAATTTCACTACAACCGGTCGCCCGTGAATTTGTTGGATAAATGATGACAGAGCTTCCTTGCGACTCATTTTAGCAGTAAAATTATTTTTAACTTATAAATTTTATTACTTATATTTAATTCGTATCTATTTGGCGGCTTTTCTCATGTACAAAGGTAATTTGTTGTCAAAATTTTACTTCACATTTTGAGTGTCAAAATATTTATTTTGACATTTACCGTTTTGATAATGCTTTGTAATGACGCTTATAATTTAAATTAACATTTATACTTATTAAACACATTGATTTTATTCATTATTATTTATTGAAATTATTCCGTTATAATTGATTTATTTAGCTTATCATAAAGAAGTTTACAAGAAACTTCTTAAATAATTAATAAACATTATCAATTGTCTTCTTCTACCTGGCAATTTTCTCAGCTTTAGCCAGGGTTTGCCTTACATGTTGTGAATAGTTTTGGCTTTTTTTTACGACCGGCCGCCTGCCTTACATAAACCCTCTTTGGGATGCATTAATCAGTGATGTCTAAATTCTCTTAGAAAGTACATATGACTCAGAAAAATTACATTGGTACTTGCTAGGATCAATTCCGCGCCCTCATTCATGAGAGGCGGGCCTTTTAACCACTAGGCAACCATTGACTAGACTACCACCAAACTAGTAGTGGGCGATATATATCGATATTTCAAAAGATATCGATGCATGTACGCGATATATCTCTTCATTCCGATATTATCGTATCATCTAGTAGGTATCGAATGTAATATCGATATATTTATAGCGAAATAACGATTATCAACATTTATTAACAAATAGCGATTATCAATCTAATTTACTCCTTATTCTCTGAGACTTATTCTTTAAAATTTGCAACATTGTCAATTTGAGTAAAAATAAAACGTTATTCCTGGATTATAGAAAATTAACCTTTGCAATAAAGAAACGTAACGCAGTCATGAGATAAGTATTCCCCACGAGGGCAGCACTGATAGCAAACTTCTAAAAGCTGTGGTATCCTATGACCTATGGTAACTCACTTGTTTTGTTTTCAGTGCAATATTACCTGTAAAAGTTGTCTCTTGTTTTGTTTAATATAGTTTACGTTATATAAATACCGTTGTATAACGATACATAAAAACAGTTTTTATAAATTGTATAGACGAAACAAACTGTGATCATTATTGTTCGGTACCGAGACAAATAACTAACAGACGTGCGGTAAAATAAAAAGTTTGTTAAATAGTTGATTTGTTTCTACTTCCTAAGGCGTTTTTACTGATAATTAACCTGATTCCTATTTGATGTTACAGCCTAGTTTAATAATATTAATTATTTACGATATTATTAAAATATCGATATATTTATTCGGTATATTGCAAAGTATCGATACACCACTACGGTATATTATATCGAACAAAATATCGATATGCTTTTTATATATCTCTACACCAAACACTATCAATTGTATCCAAATTAAAACATATTCAATAATAATATTTATTAAAGTACTTTAAAAATATTTTTTTTCACATTATATCTTATTATCCTCTTTCCTTAGATTCCATGGAAGTCCATATAAAGCCACTATGATTATTTAACTCTCTGTCTGTAAGGGGATATGGGCTTGTATTTGATTTATAATAATCAGAAGGTGCATGCATTACAAATTCCATATATTCAAGCTTACGAGGAAGATCTTCCTCTGGACCTGTAATGAAACGATTTTAAAAATATTACATTACATATGTAACATATTTAATATTATATTTTTGGTATCATCGGGAAATTATTGTAACTGATTCATTAAAATCTACACATATATTTATAAAAATGTATCATCATTTTCAGTCATACTTTTATAAGCAACATTACTGCTTGAGCTGTAAAATTATTGGTTTTTAATCCTTTACAAATATATCTGACTAAAAGTTAGAAATTTTGTTTAATAATTATAGGTATTCAGACATTCTTTATAAAAATATTTGACTAAAACTTATAAATTGCTCTAAATAAGTTAAAAAGTAGAAAGATATTAATGCTAAATAGAAAATTATATTTTTGTATGTAAATCTAACTTTTATTGCTATATACCTATAATATATGTAGCAGGATCAAAACTTTGGTCCGGCGGTGGGCTTGCTTGTGTTGGTAAGAGCCAAGTTACGACAGCACTTTTCTCACAATACTGATCTGTAAGAAAACCTCGGATCTGTGCATAGTATGTGCCCCCATCAATGTCTATCATTGAAACTATATCGCCAACTTGAATGTATGTACCCTGGAATAAAAATAAAGATATAAAATGATATTTTGATGGGTCCTGTGTAAGGGCAAATATAGAAATACCCATTTGAGTTTTTTTGCTTTTAACATTACTGTATAATACTGTATTCTACAATATACATTTGAAAAAATGTGTAATTGCTGGTGGATAGATTTAGTTTTTATTGTAGTAAAAAAGCATAATGACACAATTTTTAATGTATAAGGGCTTATGTATATTATAAAAAAACTAGTATGTTTACAAAAAAGTTTATCAAGCTTAAATGAAATATATGTATGTCATAGTTGATATGCAAAGTTTCAAAAGCATCAGTTGTTGCATGTAAAAGATATATTGAAATCAAACTTAGTACACATCTACTGAAAAATTGTCATTTTGCACATTGGCCCTTATACATAGGAGCCATTGATTTTTTGGCAACATATTGGTTATTCTATTGTACTATGTAGCTTCCTTTATTATTTTTTTAAATATAATGTTGTGATTCAATTATATAAGAAGTGTATTAGAATATAGATGAGACTTTTGCATCAATAAAAATTAGGTGTAATGTTTTCAAACAATCATATTTGAAATTTTTACTTTTATTTAATATTCTTAAATTAGCCAGCATTATGTGTAGTACACTTATTTGTAAAATTTGTTCTATGAATTATCTGAACAGAATGTACTAATAAATCTATGTAGTAGTAAAATTTGAGTTTGTTTGTATTTTACCTTGAAGAATACTGATTCACTCGCAACAACTGTGGCCGTTGCTGTTGGGGCTTTTAATGGTTGTCTTTTAAATATACTTCTGCGACCTCTACCACGGGGCGCCGGTGGCTTAGATTGATTCACTGTTGGTCCTTTAGCTTTATATCTTGTAGAACGAGTGCTTTTCCTTGTACCTTTACCCGTTGCTTTGGCTGGAGTGGTCTCACCTTCATTTTTTCCATTCTTATTATCAGAATCGTCTTTGTCTTCTTTCTTTTCATCATTTTCAGTTTTGATAGCCGAATCTAAACTTGATTCGCTATTCGCGGTATTTGCTAAGTGGCATTCGTTGCATATTTGACCGTTTTCAGCACTTCTCCATAGTAGGGAATCATTTGTATTACATTGAACACAAGTCGGTTTAGGCATTTTTGATAACTTTCATATAGGATTAATAAATAATTTGTATTATTTTTTGAATAACAACAACAAGTAACAGCTATCAAGCTATCAAAACCTGACAGTGACATTTGATGACTATTATTTGAATGTTAAAAAATTTTATATTAATAAAATACTTTAAATTGTAATTATTATACTTATGTATTAAAACGTATGATATATAGCTTACAAAGTAACATTTCGTATGAAAAATTACAGTGTATTGAAAATACTATGTTCTTTGTTTAACTTCTTACCAGCGCCACCTATTAATGAGAAGTCTTAATAATAAAACTTGCGGAAAGTTCAAATAAAGTTAAAAATCGTGAAATTTGAAACATATATATTTTTTTCAAATCAAACGTCAAATAAATCCATTTTAATCAAGGCTTAATTTGCATATATAACTCGTTTCCGTGATTTACTGCTTGTATCTGATTACTTGTCAGGGGAATTTATTTTACCGCACAGTTTATGGCGGTATTGTCCAGTTTAATTTATAACACTCTCACTATAACAAATTGAGATTTATACCATGATATCCGTCTGAAATTTACAACTGTGGCAATGGAAGCCAATTTAGCGATTATCTTGTAAACAAACCAAGCCAAGGCATATCAAAATGTCAAAAAGAAAAAGTTATTTTCATCCATCAGAATTTACTTTAATACTTATTTTGTGTTGTTTATTTTGTTTGGTGAAAGAAGTGGATTGAGTTTTAATGTTCGTATCTAATTTTTCAGTTATCATATTGAAAAATCTACAGGGATTATTTATTTTTTAAAGATTTTGTGCTGTGTTTTTCCTTATTTCTATATTCTTGAAGATTGAGTCAAATAATGTAAAACTAGTAAAGTATCTAAATGAATTCTTCAGCTTTTATATAAAGGTTACATAAAAAGATTTGAAGCGAATAGGTTTCAAAGAAATACAAATTGTTCTAGTCAAAGTCTGAATTGCAAGACAGGATTTCTCATTAAAACTTTTAAAGTCGCTTTTAAACTTTTAACAGAGCTTGTCAAAGGATAGGAAACGTCTTTGAAACAAGTCTTAAAACATTTGAAACGAGATACCCGTAGAGGAAATAATTAGTACAATTCTCTTTACGATCTTCCAGACATCCCTGTCTTTCAAGCCTTTAGTAAATACAATTTTACAGATTGCCTTTGGTGTTTTTTCATTATTCCTGATAAAGATTTATTTCAAATCTGGTACTAATTACTTATTACTGTCAGTACCATTATAAAAGTTTATTTTATTAGTAACTTATAGATTGAAGTTCTATTCTTAATTATAATTCAAACTGAATGTATAGTCGTCTAGGCTATTTTTAAACAAACTTGTATTATATCTAATTAGAAATGGTCTTTGGTAAAGAAGCGTAAGAAAATAATCCGGATCAATGGCTAGCATGAGTTGACCATGTAGCACTTATGTTCTCACTTACTGCAAGTCTAAGTATTTATTTATTTGTGGACAGAGTTTTTTGATATGTACCTACCACACTTGCTTACTTAATAATGGTTATACTTCTCGCTCCAGCTTCTATAACGTAGAAATTTTTGACGAACCTATTTCTAATAAGTTCGTTAGTGGGCTCGTAATATTTATTGACCTTGATGGTATGGTCTTTGGGGAAGTAGGTTTTCCAAGGAACCGTAAGCTCTACCATCACAACGCGCTTTAAAATTCGTGAATACATAAATATTTCTGGCCTAGACGTTGACGTAAAATGTATTTACACAGGTACTAGCGAAATGTTTAATATACTGTTTTAATCAACATTTAGTGTTAACTGTTTACTAGAGTTTTATTATCACATAAAGGATAAGGATTCATTATCTTTGACGAAATGGTTAATATTTTTAATCTTTATTTAATTTTAATATATAATGCTACAGTAGTGAATCCGTATAAACAATATATTTTATCATTGAACCTCAGCTTATTTAGAAAATCATATGAAATTTCAAATTATATTTAAAGTATAAATTTTAAAAAAATTATTGCAACGGTGGAGACTACTTCAATGGTCTCATGGTGTTTTATGATATGGGACACAAATTTCTGTTTAAAATAAAGTATACAAAAATAAAAACATAAGTATGGGTGAGGAGATGTACAAAACATTTATGCTCTGCTTCTGTAGTTTTGAATTTTTTGTTTATAGATCGAAGTTTCTATAAGCATATAAGGTTTAAGGAATTTTGAGACATCAAAATGTCGTTATCTCTTCCTATGTTATATCTGATCATATGTCAAAAATAAGTACCATGTTAAGGTCCTATTACAAATAAATTAATACACTAACAAACTTATACAAGGTTGGTTTGGTAATAGTAAGTTGGATATAATTATATTAACAAAACAAAAACGTTTGTCATGGAATTTTTAATTTTAGCGCCCTCTGTTGTAGAGTTATGCAAAGGTCTAGATCGCTATTTCACTCAATAAATATGTAATTGCATTAAAAATATATCTAATATACTAATATAAATTAGACTAAGGTTTCATAATGATACAAAGTTTATGGGTGAAAAAGTTTATTCGAGTATAATACGAATAAGTTAGAACTTAGCTACGGAATGATTTATAATGGACTAAAATTACAATCACTGTAATTATAATAAATGAGATTAAGTAATGTGCCGCAGGATTTGTACAAAATTGATGATATACGGAAGGTTTACATATAAAACTTCACATTTAAATATAATGTACATTTAAATAAGTGCTATAAAAATGTTTCAATAATATAAGTAAGTTTTAAAGCCTGTTTCGTAAGAAGTGCCTTGAAGAAGTTATACAAATGAGAATGTGTCAAATTACAATTATTTACATGTGAATAAAGATATCATTACTTATAATTAAAGATTATTAAATGTATTTAAAAATAGATTAAGTGCATTTTATTTATTAAGTTCGAATATAAATTACTTGGCGTTGTACTTCACACAATATAATAATTAATTACTAAATGTAAGCGTTTTACAACATAATTAAATAATACTTAAAATATATCAAGCGGTTGTCATTAGAATCTTATTTTACGAATCTTTATTTAGCAATTTATACAAATATAAAACTGGCCGATTGAGTATGTAACGGTGCGAAAATACCAAATATTAAAGCATTTGACAAATGACTATATTAAATTAACATTATCATAGACAGAACACGCACAAACACACACACATTATTAGTTCCGCCAACCAATACTAGATGGCCTGTTGTCACACACTTCGTCACTAGATGGCGTTATCTTTAAAAATTTAAAATGCCACTAGATGGCGCTATTTGCAAACATGAATTTCGCTCTTAGTGACGCATTTGTCGCACGATACTCGACAACACCAATGGAAACGGCAGTGGCATTTTGTTTCTTCTTGAGTCTTCACTGTGTTGTAACCACGACCGCAACACAGAGTTTCACAGCCTTCTTCACCTACAAAACATAAATATAAAACTTGTTTTTAGTTAAATAATATGTAAAGAGGTTTATTTTATAGATCAAGAGATAAATAATTTGCGTTAACAAGTAGATAACTTGATTTTAACTAAAGAAAGTTAATTAGAGTTTCCAATCGATTTTTGTTCTGTGTATTTTTGTTTTGAACTCGTTTTTGGAAATGGAACACAATATATTGAGATAGTCAGGGACAAAAATTGTAAAGTCATAGTAAAAACACATTATTATATATTTCAAAATGTAATATTTTACAACACACTGACATGTACAATGCTTAGCATATATGTTGTCATTCATAACTGAGAATACAGAGGCTTTTAATGTTTGACTATGTGGAAGAGAAATAATAATAATAAAAATATAAAAAATGTCATACGTTTAAATTTGGAATTCTAAGTTCAAAGTAGTCTTATAAATCAGTACAACTTAATAGTTTTAAAACAAATAGTTTTTAAATGAATCCTCGCGAAAGCTTTAGATCTCAAATAGCTTTTTGGTATTAAACTCCTACATAATATGATGAAAATATATTAACGTACTTCTTGAGGTTCTATTACAGTGTCTTCCGTGAGTGCCAAATGATCCAGCAAGAGCATCAGGTTCACAGTAAGTTGGTGAAGGCTCCAAAAACACCAGATCCGATTTACGAGGCTGACGACCTATACCGGCATTTTGTCTCGTTCTGATAAGAAAATATTATTATTATATGATTCTGCATATAAAAAAGATTTAAAAGATCATAAATATTCTTTCTTAAATCCCTACTAATATTATAAATGCGAAAGTAACTCTGTCTGTCTGTCTGTTACGCTTTCACGCCTAAACCACTGAATTGATTTTAATGAAATTTGGTACAGAGATAGAGTTGACCTTGAGGAAGAACATAGGATAGTTTTTATTCCAGACTTTTGAAAGGTTCTCTTGGAAACGCGATATAACCGAACTCCACGCGGGCGAAGCTGCGGGCGGAAAGCTAGTGTCCTATAAACTTGACTGTTAATTAAACTAATATTTTTCGTATATACTACGTTTCGTCTACTTTACAGCAACCGTGATCACGGGCAGACGATATGTGATTTCACATAGTATAATCCGAAAAATAATAGTTTCATTTAAACGAATAAAAATCGCGAATATTAACTCTCATTAACTTGAATGTAAGTTTGGTTTAATATTTTAAGTTACTTACAAATTATAATGTAGTTAGATAGATAGATAAAAACTTTATTATGTAACAAAATCTTATTTATATCATGTGGGTAGTTTGCAAACCTGCGTATAACAAGATGTGTTTGTGGAGCGTGTGTCTCAGTCGGCGGGTGGGGTATGACCAATCTAGCTTTCTGGTACTTCTCCCTTAGAGCAGAGCCCACCACGTGGAATTGGGGTAACGCTCGCCAGCATGTACGCAACGCACAGGACCCCGATACTCCATGGCACTTGCATTCACGACGTACTAGGTCCTTTACTGTCTGTGGAATTTACCCTAGTTTATTTTCTGTTACCCTTTACCCAAATCCAATAAAACTTAATAAATATAACGCATATTAAAAAATCTTCATTCCCATATAATTATTTTAATGTCAAGGACATATAACCAGTAATCAGGAATCATTTAGTTAAACGAGACTAGGAAATGGAGGTGTTTCATTTAAAACTGCAAACATTTTTACTCTCACAAGTGAATTGAAATAAAATAGTGATCATTTCAGAATAGTTTAGACTTAGTTTAAACTCGTTAATTATATAAATATAATGTATTTCAGTAAATAAATATTATTTTGCTTATACCTATAGCGAAAACGAATACGAGATGTTTGTTGTCTTATTGAAAAGTAATAAAGAACAGTATTTATTCCATTTTTCTTATTCAGAATCAAATCTTGGTACAAAAATAATTTGGTTATTAGTAAAATATATTCTATTTTAATTTAAAATGTTTCCTGACTTAACTCGATGTATGTAAAAGCGTGTGTTCGTAAAAATAGAAATTGTAGATTGGAATTTATTATTGCATTGTTCTGTATGTCCACTAAATGTTCGGATATAATGCAATGTGAGTAATAACTAATTATTTAATTAATGAGGATACAAATAGGTTTAAATGCTGCATACTACTTATATAACTCCTCAAGTTTGTAGGCAATTATGTATGTTTGTAGTTTTTTCACGCTAAAACTACAAAACTAGATGAGATAAAACTTTACAGTACTGTAGATTAGATATTAGAATAAGCTATAGGTTAAAATTATATCGAAATTTTATTATATCTCGAGATTAAAAAAACAATTGTATTTTGTATATATCACGTGACTTTAGATGTCGCCACTGTCTATATATAAGTATTTGAACATAATGTATACATTTCTTTCTGACATTAATTACGAAGTTTTAACAGACGGAGTCGCATGTAAAACTTGTATATAAATTACGATGATAGCACAATTATTCTGAGTATGGATGTTCAACAAACATTTTTAAAACAATTAAGTACGCGCGGAAAGCTTTACGGTCGTGAAGCCATGTATTTTATCTCGTAAAGCAATAACGTAATGATATTGTCCTCGGGCAGAGAATTACTTACAGTACGTGCATGATATATGTATGGTTGGTAAGTAAAGCAATAGGTAGGAATGGAAATTACTATGAATTTTGGGTAAAATAACATCTTTATTGGAAGTAACGTTGAAACTTTTTTTTTTTTTTTTAAATAGTTGTACATGATTTTGCAAAGGAGGTTCTAATGGAATTTGTTTTTAATTCTTTTATTTATAATTTTCAAAACAGTTTTTTTTTAAGTGTCAATGATTAAATGTATTACAAATATAAGTGTTTATAAATAATATTTGATGGTTAACCTTGGAATGTCAGAATTGTTATAGCACTGGCTGTATAACTCGAGCCTTGTACAATTTAATTTTTAAGGAGGGTATTCATTTACGTCATTAGCATTAGTGCAACATAAGAAAAGAAAATTACCCGCCCCGGGGTAATGGCGGGTATCGAACCATGTGAATGATTCTTTAGTAACTCGTTGAAATGAGGATAATACATTAAACTTTATGTCAATAAATTATACTTTATATTTGTTAATCAAGATGATATTCAAGAATTTTATAAAAAAATTATGTTATTACTTAAAATACTGCCCTTTTAAACTCAACATTTTTTTTATTATGATACTACATAGATTATTTACAGTTATTTTTTAAAAATTTTGAATCTGTATCTATTTTTATTATCTGTATAAATATACGTCATTAATAAATGCAACTGTTCCATTTGTATCTAATTTATCTATCTCAATAATGCGTTGTAATCCGATGAGATAGATTGGATTGAACTACCGATATGATTTTAAACCCGCCGGCCGGTAATTTTCTTGCATATTACCGATCCATTTCAAGGTATTACCGTTTGGTTATTGCATCTGTTATTCTGATGCATTAGCATTATCTGTCATCGAATGTGATTGGATAAAAAGAGGTTGGACATTGTTCTAAATAGGTATGCAAAAAGGTTTTAATATTTGCTTAAATTTGTATTGAAATTTTATTACGAAACTACGACTATAAATGAAAGTACTAATTTTTCATATAATATAATTAAATTCGTTATACTATATGGGCAGAAGTTTCTAGAAAATAGAGAGATATATTTACTAAAAGATCCTACCTAGTTATGCATAACTGGACAAATGGACAAACTACTCAACAGTACTTCTTCTTCTTCTACCTGGCAATTTCCCGGCTATAGCCAGGGTCTGCCTTACGTGTTGTGAATAGTTTTGGCTAATTGTTTTTTACGACCGGCCGCCTGCCTGACATCAACCCTCTTTGGGAATGCATTAATCAGTGATGTCTAAATATTCTTAGAAAGTACATATGACTCGGAAAAATCACAAAACAAAACTACTCGACAGTATTGTATGAGTAAAAATAGATGTTCAATATCTATTATCATAAACAAGACCTCATTAAGTCAATACAATTCGTGATCTAGCATAACTTATATAAATCTATATGTCTCTGTTTGCGTGAGACTTCAATAAATCAACATTATATAAAGATATTAAACGCTGCAGTTAAAATATTACGAAGTAACTGACTATGGTTTAAGGAATTATTTTAGTTAATAAGTTTGTCTTTATAACACTTTCTTTTTCCTGACAATTTCTGAGCTTTAGCCAGGGTCTGGCTTACATGTTTGTTAATAGTTTTGGCTAATTGTTTTTACGACCGGCCGCCTGCCTGACATCAACCCTCTTTGGGAATGCATTAATCAGTGATGTCTAAATACTCTTAGAAAGTACATATGACTCGGAAAAATCACATTGGTACGTACTCGGGCCAGGTTCAAACCCGCGCCCTGATGCATGAGAGGCGGGCCTTTTAACCTCTAGGCCACCACTGACTTAATAACACTTTATATATGTTTTTCATGAATGCTGATTCGAAAAAGAGGGTTGATGTCAGGCAGGCGGCCGGTCGTAAAAAACAATTAGCCAAAACTATTCACGACATGTAAGCCAGACCCTGGCTATAGCCGGGAAATTGCCAGGTAGAAGAAGAGTCTTAGAGGTGATAAAACACGGCTATAATCATCATTAGCCTATCAGAGCCCACTGCTGAGCAAAGGACTCTTCTCATGAAGAAGATAAATTCTTCTAAAATTTAAAGTATAGTTTAATATTTTGAGCGAGCTAAGACAATATCAAACCTTTCTTCCTACTCGATTGTTGTGAAGATTCATTAGACTTCGTGCGTCTGCCTCCATTTCTCTTGAATCAAGGAACCTTCGAGCGAATCTTGCTCCATAGGCTGCTTCACCACAACCTCCCCATTGGAACTGCTCTGATGGACTTGATGGTCTACGTCTTTCAAAGATTTGATATATTATATACTTATATTCATCGTGCTTAATACGTTGTTTTAGATTAAACAATCAAGCATTAACTTAATCGATGTTTATTGGTGACAAATATATAATAAAAATGATTTAACTACACTCAGTACTGTCGTAACTTAAATGAAACTAATATTTTTTGGATAATTACGCGTATTTAAGTATTGGAACGTACTTGCAGGGTAGTCCTAGTAGATTCTTTTCAAATTTGGTTAGGTAGAGAGGAGCTTGGACGATGGAGGTGAGCGTATAACGCGTGTTAGTTAAGGGGTCCCTTAAACCTACACCTGGGTCACAAGTCACTGGCACTGTTGAAGCTCTTCTCACTACAACGATGGACCCGACACACGCACCGTGAATACATTGAATGATGAGAGGTTTCGTCTCTCTATATATATTAAACCTACACCTGGGTCACAAGTCCCAGGCACTGTTGAAGCTCCTCTCACTACAACGATGGACCCGACACACGCACCGTGAATACATTGAATGATGAGAGGTTTCGTCTCTCTATATATATTAAACCTACACCTGGATCACAAGTCCCAGTCACTGTTGAAGCTCCTCTCACTACAACGATGGACCCGACACACGCACCGTGAATACATTGAATGATGAGAGGTTTCGTCTCTCTATATATATTAAACCTACACCTGGGTCACAAGTCCCAGTCACTGTTGAAGCTCCTCTCACTACAACGATGGACCCGACACACGCACCGTGAATACATTGAATGATGAGAGGTTTCGTCTCTCTATATATATTAAACCTACACCTGGGTCACAAGTCCCAGGCACTGTTGAAGCTCCTCTCACTACAACGATGGACCCGACACACGCACCGTGAATACATTGAATGATGAGAGGTTTCGTCTCTCTATATATATTAAACCTACACCTGGGTCACAAGTCCCAGTCACTGTTGAAGCTCCTCTCACTACAACGATGGACCCGGCACACGCACGGTAAATACATTGAATGATGACAGGTTTCGTCTCTTTTTAAAATACGCGTAGTAATCCAAAAAATATTCGTTTCATTCAAATGAATACTGAAAGTCTTAGATCTTTATCGTCTTAACTTTATTACAATTCATTCTAACAATGCGGGTAGCTTTTAAGTATTACAACCTTATGTTTCAATAACATTATTTCCTTTCGATTTTGCCATATATTTTAAGTATAACAACCCTTGTTTTACCTTATATTTAGAGAACTATAGTCATGACTTTTCTACCAATAAATATATCATCATTTACCTGTTCGACGAACACCCACAAGCAGGTAAGTCCCCTCTAGCGCATGCAGTGCTCAACGCGTGAGTTACACCCGCTGATGTAATGGCGTACGTAAATGCAGCTTCACGTGTTGCTAAAACAATTATGACGTTTTTTAATATGAAAATTAAAGAAAATTGTAACAGCAATATGTTCCTACTCCTAATATTACACATTACATTAGTTCATCTTTATGCCAATAGATGGCGTTAGTTGTATTCTTAATACGCTAACATTATAAAATTGATATTATAGATAACATATATGAAGTTTTTTTTAATGTTTTTTTTTGTATTCTGTGAGTATGCATGTTTGTAAAATTCATATAACAATAACGTAATCATATTGGTTACATTTCATATTAATGTATTGCTAGAGGTCTGAAAGAAAATCTATTAGAGATGCAGAAGTATTCTATGAGTGTATGTGTGTGTGAGTGTATGTACTTTTGTTAAATTCATACAAAAATAACGGCATCAAATTGCATTTCACACAAATCTAATCGATAGTTAGAGGTCTGAAATAAAATGTCAGGTCCATTTTATATCAAGTAATCAATAAGTGATTAATGATTATGCTGTAAGCATTTCTAATACAACATATATAGGAACTTTTTTTTTGAAGATTGTCATTTTTTAAATTTTCTTTTTAATTTTAAGGTTTCTATAACTTCTATATTTTTCCGATTCTATAAACTTCAAACATAGAATATCAGCTAATGTCATAATTTTTATTTAATGAATGAGTTCTCATTTATAATACATATAATCTTATATACTCTGTGGACAGACGCTAAGGAGTTCGAGGTTCTATTATTATCTACTCTGTGTATTATTTACCCTGTGTATTATCTACTCTGTGCAGATGACGGATGTCTAGAATTGATATATATTTCGTTACAAGAGCCAGCTAGCTGTTTCCTGTAAGTGGAGGGAGTTAGCTCACGATGCTGATGGAATTCTAGAAAATAAATTATCTAGCTATGATTTTAGAGATTGGCAATAATGTCGGTTTTAATGCTAATGTATTTGTTATACGTATTCGTAATTTCTGTGGACTGTTAAGTTTATTTGTAATGGAAATATTTTATTACGTCCTATATTATAGTATGTCAGGTAACTAGTTTATATTCATTTAATATATAGTGTTTTTGTTTATTGTTAAGGGATGAAGAAATAATAAATGTTGCATACTTATACGATATTATTATAATTTGTAAGACATTGGAATGTTAAAAGTTTCTAAGATAGCTTTAAATCAGTTTTTTTAATGAATTCCTTTTCTTAAATCTTACGACAAATCAAAAAGATACTGACACTTAAAGATGAAAAAAAATTTAGAAGACAAATAAGTGACAACCTAAATTAAAAACATTTTTACTAGTTATTACACTATGGTCTTCTAGAAGATTCTTTTCCATTTAATGAGAAGCTAATTAATATATAATTTATATATATGTATATATATCTTTTATTTATAATCTGTTTAATTATATCAGTTGTGACATTATAGTGATTCATGTTTCATAGATACAATCTGTCAAAATATTGATTACATTTGTCACAGCGGATTGTAAAGTTAAAAGTTGTTTAACTAATCATGGTTTATTAATTTGTCTTAAAATTTCAACATAAATTAAAAACCGTTTTCCAAATATATATGTATATATAGTGTATTATGTCACATCAATTTTGTTTTTGATTTAATGTAAAATGATGAGATGATATTTTAAAAAAAAAAATTAAATATTTTGAATATATTATTCTTAATTTATTTTAGATTCTGTTTTAAATATTAGTTGATTTGTTCTTTAGTATGAAGTACTTTAAGGTTATGTATAAAACAAATGTCAATTTCAGCATAAAATTTATTAGGCACAGAACATAGTGTAAAACCTATTTATAATATCAAAAGTAATATAATTTTCCTTAGTGTGTTCACGCCCTAATGATTTATAAAGCTGTCATGTATCACGACAGACTAATAACTCAATTAGTACCGTGCAACGATAACGTCTAATATTTAAATACAGATTTAATATAGTGCATTGAATATTGTTTACATTTTTATAATATATAATATTGGCATTATAATTTTAAGTAATTTTTGACATCGGCTGAATACGGGTTGATCTTTGATCCTTTTTTTTAAACAATAAAAAAAATATATTGAGATTTATATTTTTAAAAGACAAAATTTTTTGACAATTATCAAATAAATTTTTATAGACAATGTCGGCCATTTTGATTATATTTTTATTCTTGTCACACAGTCGTAAAACATGATTTATATTATAACGAATCGGAGGTTGATGATCGTTTACCAAAGTCCAAATTAACGTATTTAAAAATATTAAATGCAACCGAATAATAAATTATACAATCACGTAAATATTTGTGTTATAAATGACTTGATTTGCATAAATTATTATTATAATAAAATGTCAAAGACATCTGTCAAAAAAAATAGTTGAAAAACAAAATGGAGTCAAACGTCAAAGCTGTCTTTCAATTAAACGTATAAAATAAATAAACATCTACAAACGAGGACCGTGCAAACGGATTTAAGTCGTGATCGTTACCGTTTTTTAGAATGATTCACGACTTCAATATATTCATATCTGCTTTTTATTTTATACGGTTTTAAAACACAATATTATGTTTTAAATTCAATGAATTTAATCATATTAAATCTGCTCAGTACTACGATTTTAGAACACTTTTTCATAGTAAGTGAAATGTCGTGTCGTAGTCGTAACGTGTAAAAATATCGCATGTTAAATATCGTACATTATAAAGTAGTGTTAAACAAACACAAGTCAATTAGCCGTATCTTATAAATCATTGTCGATGTGGGTGTGATGATTATTTGCTTTCCAATGCGTGGTTTATTTTTTTTTGATTAACCATAAGTATTTTTGTAATGGGTTATTTAAATAGTTTATTTGACAGTAGGGAAATAGTATTCATAATAGAACGTATTCTTGCTATGATTGGATAAGTTGTATAAAAGGTATTGTTAAAAAAATTCCGGTATAGAATGCATAATGTAAAATAAAATATGTAATAATTATCTCTATGAATTTATACTTATATTAATGTATATATTTTTAAATCAATACTTTATTTACATATAAATGTATTTTTGTTTTAATTTAATTGGATTAAAACCTTCACAGATTGTTTTATGGCCAGTAGTTATAAAACGTCAAATGGTTACTGTAAAAAAAAACCTTGACAATTTGACAACAAAAAAGCATAAAAACTTTTTGCTTGGTATCAAAAAAAGTTATTGCTACTGAGATACACGGATAATGTAATTAAGTCAATGTATTTAAGATTAATATCTATTTTTTTACCAGTGTAATTGTTCATGTAATTTTGGCGGGCTCATTAGGCTTACATATATTTGTTTTCGTTTTAAATTTAAATATTACTCTCAAAGATGGAAGGTTTTTTTCATATTTAAATTACTTTTATTATTTATATGTTTTGTTTTTTACATTAAATATACTATGATATTTTCATGCCACTTTATAATCTGTTGTTTTATCGTCTATAAACCAAGCCAGTAATTAGTCTTATTTGATTATAATTGCACTATTATTAATTACTATGAAACTACTACTCTAGTATCGTCACTACATAATTTATGAATAAATCAAAGGAAAAAATTATCGCCTTAGATATTTACATACGAGTCCATTAAGGCCAATAACCTAGACAACTCAATGAAACCTGCTAACGTTAATATACAGGGTGATTGAATTATCTTAATATGTGTATTTCGTCTTCACCGATATTTATTTATAACTAGTTTTTGCCCGCGACTTCGTCCGCGTTAATTTCGTCATTAGTAATATATGTATAGCTGACCGGGCGAACTCTATTCCGTCTTCAATAACCCGGTATTGGTATTTATTAAATTTCTACTGTTTCAATCGAACAGAATGAAATAGAAAAGGGCTGTTATTAGGGTTTTCCCGGCAATTATTCCAATTTTGCTCACCTTTTAAACCTTCCCTGGACTTCCAGGAGTATTTCAAGACTAAAATAAGCCAAATCGGTTCTCCGTTCTCGAGTTTTAGCGAGACTAAGGAACAGCAATCCATTTTTATATATATAGAAGAAGAAGATTAAAGTATTATAATGCAAAATAAACATTGTATGTAAAGAAAATACTGTCGAAATTCGATTTTTTCCAAATTATATATCATATTTTTATTAATACGTGTACTTTGATGTTTTTTATATTAAAGGTGGCAAACGAGCAGACGGGCAATTTGATGGAAGGTAGTCACCATCGACCATAAACATCTGTAACATAAGAGATGTTGTGGATGTGTTGCGAACCTTGATTGTGGGAGAGAGAGAGGAAACTGTGGGAAAAGGAAGGAGCAACCGTCTCTCTCACTCATCGGACGAAACTCATCCATTAAAGTCTACTTCACGCCGATCTTCTGTGAGAGGGTGGTACTTCCCCGGTCGAGCCAGCCCATATTCGAGCTGTAGTAACTTGACCACAGCTAGGCTCTACAACCTCAATGTTTTTTTATTTGCAACATATACTAACTTGTGGAAGTATTTTATTTAATAATATATTTTATTATGCAATAAAATGATCACCCTGTACCATCCACGTCAGATTATGTCTGGATCACGATTTAGCGGGAGGCTGTTCGTTGGTGAGCATTTATTGTTTTTTATAAATTTATTTTTAACTTCACGTATAGTTTACATATTAAAAATACATATAAATTACATGATAGCCCACTGTGTTGGTCGTAAACTCGAAAACAGACTGCCCACGATGTTTTAAAACTTTAATTATACAATTGGTTAATTAAATTTAATCAGTTTAATTTCATTATATAAATTTAAAAGCCACTTTCTCTTAATTATAATTTTTATATATATAAGTTTACGAACTAAATTGTATTGCCATAGTAAATAATTCATAATATTATATTGCCTTTTATCTTTCGTTTTGTTGTCAGGCAAACCTGAAATATTGTTGACAGTTGGTAGATTATATCTGACATTTAAAACAATCACTGAAATTGAACGGATTAAGATCACCTTTATAATAGGCTTTTTTATGTTGGCATTATTGTATTGTTGAATATTTGTTTTACCTGTTGTGATAATATACTCGTACAAGTATGCAATGTTGGCAGCATTGTGTTATGGAGTTTTTGTTTCACTTATTTCATTATGAGAACGTTTTATATACCCATAATTCGATGCATTGTAGCCTTTTCGATATATAAGATTTTTTATGTTGGCATTATTGTGTAATTGAATATTTGTTTTATCTGTTGTATTAAGATGCACTAGCATGAAATGTTGGCATTATTGTCTTATTATTATGTTATAAACGCTACCATTACTATGTATTTGATATTTAAGCTTATTAATGTTGATATTATTACATTATTATATAAACGTTTAAATGTTATTATAATTTAGTTCATCCAAATCGAATATTAATTTTGATGGTTTCTTGAACTTGAAAACAAATGTTGTTTTACCAGTGTTTTATAGAAGTCTTGATGTTTGTGTTATATGTAGAATAGGAGTGTATAAATATTAACCAAAAATGTTTAGTATTTATACAATTCTATTACCTAACATGTCTTAATGATTTTTTCAATTAATTATTACGTAAAGTTAAACTTAGGTATATAACAATAGCTATGTGTTTGAATGAAACCACGATGTCAGTGAATTTGAGTGTAAGTTAGCTTGTTTTCAAATAAATGTTTACGTATAATTATTTGATTTGTGGAAGAGAGTTTTTTTAAATTAACTAAAGAATTGAAAACTGGGAAGAGAATGAGAGAATAGTAACACTAAAATATTTTTTAATTTTAAATCTAACTTTCTATTAAACTATTACGCATGGAAAACTAACAATGAATGGGAATGTAAATGCATCTGGTCAGCTGATTCTACGTAATTGTACAGATAATGCGACATGCGATAGATAACCAAAAATATTTTATAAGACGTTCTCAACGAATATTTTAAGCTACAAACTCTATATATAAAGTATCACTAAGTTATGTTATTGTGTAATGCTCAACCAAACTCGCAAATACAATTTTGTATAATAATATATGTTTAGAATCTAATTATTATAGACTTACCTAATGGCATGACGTGTCCAAAGTCATTTCCATTACCAACTCCAGAACAATTCCATCTGTAGCCACTTAGTTGTGCACGGCATTCTGCGTACGCCATTCTGTCATATTATACAAATAATAATTAGTTATACATATTATACAATGTATAATACGTAAAATTTAAAAGTTTATTGATTAGACTATTGATTTATTTTGTTTAAATAAGTTATTGTAAGAACAATTTAACAACAATCAAATTGTAGCAAAACAGTAATCAAGCGATCAAAAAATACGACGCAATACAAAGTAAGGCATTGAATAAACAAGGAAATACAGAAATATAATTATATAACATTCTGTTAAATTAGTTAAAATGTTATCTTTGTAATGAGAACGTTAATTTAAAGCTTTAAATAAAGCAATAAGTGGCATTTCTAGAACCTTCCAAAAATTTTGAAAGAAATTACAAAGTATTTGGGTTTGAAATCATGGATGGATGTTATATTCTTACATGCATGCACTGCATATAATAACATTTATATATATACTAGCTGACCCGGCAATCGTTGTTTTCTATATAAAATATAGGGGTTGGTGATAAAGTAAAAATTTTAGGTTGTACCTATGTATTTTTTAACGCTACATTATAAAAAAAATTAAGGGTGAACAACCCTTATGATTTAGGGGTATAGAAAATAGATGTTGGCTGATTCTCAGACTTGCTCAATATGCTCACAAAATTTCATCAAAATCGGTCCAACCGTTTCGGAGGAGTTCTCTGTTTAACACCGCGATACGAGAATTTTATATATAAGATAATGAAGCGTTCAATTTACAAACGAAATTTATATGGTCGGGTGTAAATACAGTTAGTTTTAGTTGTATATATCGGCGTTATCAGCTTTAATAACGGATGCGACGTAAAATAACTTGAGGCTGTCGTCAATTATTATTAAAACTCATTAGTATTCATGATTATTGTTAAAAGTAAAACGAAATCAAAGATTGTTTAAAAGGAGAATAGAACTATGTTAAATCTTGGTATAAATATGACGTCTGGACGCACGACTGCAGAATTGAGAGTTCAGTGAGTGCGTATCATTAAAGTATTTGATTATGAAGAACCTTCGAGAAATACAGGAGCATTAAGAACAATTGAAGATTCATTTTAAAATATCATGGAACGTACTAGAAGAAGTGACATTTGTGACGTCAGCGAGGCTGGAGTCTCTTTAAAAACAACGAATGTGTAATAAATCCGATATACAGGTGACTGGTGAATTACTATCGATATTTGAGGACGTTATATTTGACGATCATATATGACGAAATAAAAATTAATATAACATAAATATTAATAAACTTCTAAGTAAAGTTAACCGAAAGTTATGTAATTAATTACGTATCGTATGAACACCCTACAGATTAGGTATACACACACACTCACACATACGCACGCGGCGGCGTGTTGTTGTATCAGCACGCCTCCGCGCGCGTCCACACTTGGAACACTTGGAACGTATACACACTTTATTTATTTATACGGAAATTTGGTCAAAAATTAAGTACCTATTTTTTTTACATAATTCGAATGAGAATCATGTACCGAGTATGCTCCTTAAATATTGATAGTAATTCACCAGTCACCCCGTATAATATAAGAATATATTACCTTAGTCCGTCTCCTACGGCTGCTATCGCGGCTGGCGAGGCTCGACACATGGCTCTCTGCTTGTCAGTCAGACCAGATACTCTCGCACAAACGAGATGTGCACCCAGAGATGCTGCTCCCGTAACGCTGTTGATAGTAACTTATATTAATTAAATCTTGCTGAAATGTAGAAGAAATTTTGTAATAAACTACATACTCCCGACGTGTAAACTATAAAACGACAAAAAACTACTGTATACATAACTAAAGCACGCGTAGTATATCCGAAAAATATTACATTCATTTAAATTAAATCGTTTTATTTAAATAAAGTTATAGATGTTCGTAATAAGGCAAGTCAATGGTCTGCCTATTTTTATGAAAAAATACTTGTATGTTTTTTATTGTGATAAATTAGATTTGTACATTCCATTGAAATATTTCGTCAATACCATATCCCTGTTGATAGATTCTTGGTGTTAGGTAGGCTTTGTTATAAGAAAACTGAAACAAACACTTTTTTAACTCACATCATGTAACGCTTGTTAAGTTTTACTGTTATTTTTTATAAGCTATGGCTTCATTGGCACTGAAATCGTGGAGTATTTGGCGAATGTCAAAATTTTATTTGTTGGATGAATTATAATCTTTAGTACTGTGTGGAAACACTAAGGAGTTTGTCGAATAGAATAAAGGTATTAATTTACTGTTCTATTTTTAACAGGAATGTCTAAGACTGAATTTATTTATTCAAATGACATATGTCAAATATGTAGAAATGTATGCCCGAAAATACCTTCAATAATTGATATGAATCTTAAATTTCTTGACAAAAATTCCATACATTGTATCATTTTAAGATTTATGTGTTTTATAATAAGTATGAAGGAATTATAGAGATTCAATCGAAAGTTTTGTGGAAAAATGTCTGTTATTTGCTCATAGATGAATTCTGTTTTGTTTTTAATTATCTTAAATAGGTATACAGGGTGCATTTGTGAGGTTTGATAGGTAGAAAAGGAATTATTATTTAATTTAAAATACAGTTACAATATAATAATTCAGGTTATATTTATTAAATAACGAATCTTGAATACAGCCTTTTTGGGTCTCCATATTAAATGAGCAACTTCGTTTTATGCTAGAGTAAGTTATGAGAATTCGTAAATGCACTATTTAAATTGAAAACTAACTTGTCTAATTAGAAAACTTCTTCCAAAAATTCCAATTCAGTGAAATAAAGTTATGGCTTTGAAAAGATTTTTCACATATTTTAAAAGGACTATTGTTGTCATTGCTCTTATTATCTTTATATAAACAGAGACCAAAATATATTATCTTTGAAAACAACTATGTATAGATTTGAAAACCTTCCTTAATTTTAATAAAATGGCCAAGTAATTCGAAAAATCTTATTATATTTATATCTGGTCGTCATTAAATTAGATTTGAACCATTCATGAAACAACAATCAGTAAAGGGAACTCTGCTTGTCATACAATGTCACTGTAATTTGTGATCAGTGACTGGCAAATGAGGTTGTCCATGCTCTGATGGGTTGTATATGCGGTCAAAATAAAATGGTTATGCTTTAATACGATGCGGAAATAATTTTTCTTTTCAATTGTAATAAAAGAAATAAGTAACAATGACGTGAAAGCGTAAAACGTAATTTAATTTATCTATACATATATTAAATTTGTAGAAAAGTGCTGTCTGTAGATCCCTACTAATATTATAAATGCGAAAGTAACTCTGTCTGTCTGTCTGTCTGTCTGTCTGTCTGCTACGCTTTCACGCCTAAACCACTGAACTGAATTTAATGAAATTCGGTACACAGATAGAGTTGACCTTGAGAAAGAACATAGGATAGTTTTTATCCCAGACTTTTGAAAGGTTCTCTTGGAAACGCGATATAACCGAACTCCACGCGGCGAAGCTGCGGGCGGAAAGCTAGTTGAAAATAAAAATAAAAAAATAGCAGGGGTTATTGTTATGTCGATGTCGAACCCAAAAATGTAAGTAACTTTTTTTTTGTCTGTTTGTCTGTTCACGCTAATCTCAGAAACGGCTGATCCGAGTTGGATGCGGTTTTCACGAATATATTGCGGTAAGCTTCAGTTATGCTTTAGTGTTTGTTTCATGTCAATTGGTTCATAAATAAAAAAGTTATGTCAAATTAAAGAATCACGTCGAACACTATTCTATGCTTATACTATGCTGCTATTCTATGCTTCTATACTTATACTTAAAATGACTGTGATTATGATCCAAGATAAAAATAAGTATATATTTAAAAAAAACGCTGCTCATAGTCACTATTTCACACGAACGAAATCGCGGGCACAGCTAGTATTTAATAAATTTAATTGTTTGTTTAATACAATATTTTGGAATCATTTTTAAGTAGATTGTTCATTTGTGGTTCATATTGACAAAGATCTTTTCGATTTTACATACATAATGCATTGATTGGTTTTTAAGCCTTACCTTTTGTAAACTTATGTAATTCTTTATGTAAAATTGTTATTAATCAAAGCCTAATCAACTAGAACTCTGTCTGTATGTTAATTCGTGATTTGTTAACAATGATATATTACCGTTTTCGTGAATTGAATCAAACTCGAGTTTCGTTTCACTAGCTGTGTGGGTTGTGTGAATTGCCTCTCGGTCTGTCACGGTTCAACGTTAATTGGTGTATGTCATTACCATCGATGTATTAATGAAGTTATGGACGGTTTAACCAGTATAATTAGATACTTTATCTCACTCCTATTATATATGGAATAAAGGCTAAAATGCTGTGACATACAGTTCAATTAAGTAATATATGAGCTATACCTTAGAAATAGACTTCAATATATTTATTTGTTTTGCTTGAAATCTACATTTTACAGTTACATTTAAACAATAGTGACCTTCCACGCTAACAAACGTTTTACGTTTAATTTTATAGTCATTGTGACATTTGTAAGTAATAAAATATTAATAATATTATTTCAAATAATAAATAAATATACAAAACGTTAATATTATGAAGTAAAGATATGTTCTTGCAAAAATTACTTGACAATTTTTAATGGTTTATACTTTATACATATCGCACTTAGCTACGGTGCAATAATGTCACTTGTGCAATTTATTCCAAAACTTAACTGATTATGTGAAAATACTCCCAATCCACCTTTTTACTTAGTGCGTTATTGACACTTGTGTCGTACGCAAACTGTCCTCGTTTCAATATTATTAACTTATTTTTTTTAGTCGAATAATACCATAATACTTTAGTGAGGTAATTGATGCTTGATTTCTATGGATTAGCTTTATGTACATATTACATAAAGGTTCCCTACAGGACACTATATATATATGTATATTCATAGTTGAGAGAAATAGTATATATGTATATACCTCTCTGTGTATACAGTATATATTTAAGTCTGCATTCAGTTCTACAACCAATACTTCTAGTTCTACAGTTCCTTAATAAATATTGCCAGTTCTTATCATAGGAAACGAATTAATTCAGGAAACATAATTCCCGTTATCACAGATCGTTACCCACACAGATAATTATAATAATATGAATATAGATTTGTATGATCATTGTATTTGAATAAACAATAAAGATATAATATAAATTTAATTGTATTTTATAAAAGAATTTGTTTTTCTTTAATTTAATCTTACATCAAAATCCAATGAAGAACTCCATATATTTTTCGTACAAAAGAAGGGTATACAATATATGTACATATATTTAAAGTCTAATAACCTTTCGACTATATCATAAACGAAAGGTATTTTAATAAATATGTTATTAAACAATACAAACAATCTTCCAAACAGAAACTTTGATTTCATTAATCCGTATTCATATATGATTTACTTACATTAAAGAGAACGTTTTTTAAAGAAATATTTAAACTGCATTAATTTTCATTGATAAAATTTGTATTGTTTTATTAATAAATATATATTTCAGTTAATTTAAGTGATTGCAAATTGATTTTGAAATATAGTAACAAGATAAACATTGACGGCATCCCACGGCTTACTAGTGCTAATTAATATTGTGATTTATATGTTACTTTTACCACAACGAGAGCATTCGATCCCGTTTCGTTTGCTTGCCCACTTTATTAGGTAAAAGTGGGATATAAATTATTATATATTCGATGTTTTCAAGGTAAGACTGAAGAGAATTTTATTATGATTTGACCTTTAAATACTACGTGATGCACTTATAATTTCTGGGATTACTAGTAGTAAGTATTGAAAATATATGCTCGTATAATTTACTGTGCCTTTTATGTTATTTTATATTTCAACAAATTTTAACTTAAACAGTGTGTTGTATGATATAACTTATAGTATATGAAATAATGTTTAAGTAAATCCATTCAAAATTGAGTTTTATTTTTTTAGTGCTTTTTTTGTAAGAAAATTATTTAATGAATAATTGACCCACTTGAAAATACGTACATATAGTTCTGATTACGAAGCAGACTTTTGTATGATAAATATTTAGGTATTAAAAAGAATATATATGTAGGTCGAATAAAATTTAATAATTGCTTTCAGACTCTCAAAACAATATTGGATAACAAAATTAATTAAAAGTATATTTATTAAGTAATGTGTGTATTTTAATGTTAAAATAATTACAAATAATATCAATATTTATATAATTTTTCATCATCAAATTGTTCCCTTGTCACCAATACCGTGGTTCGTTTCAAATTTAATAGTCCACTATTTATATTTATCTGTTAGATAAAGATAACTGACTGGATAAAATAATATGTCGTTACAGTAGATACTACTTGACAGGATAAAGGCCTGAGTTAGGAGATGTAGCGTTTTATATATCCCTACTAATATTATAAATGCGAATGTAACTCTGTCTGTCTGTCTGTTACGCTTTCATGCCTAAACCACTGAACTGATTTTAATGAAATTTTGGTACAGACATAGAGTTGACCTTGAGAAGGTAAATAGGATAGTTTTTATCCCAGACTTTATAAAGGTTCTCTTGGAAACGCGATATAACCGAACCCTACGCGGGCGAAGCTGCGGGCGGAAAGCTAGTATATGTATAAAACGCTAAATCTCCTAAATATCTTTGTGTTATTGAATGGTTCAGT